CCGCTGCTGGCTTCCACTCTGGTGTGTGGAGAGGACTAAGAAATACTGGCATGAAAATGCACGAAGGGAACATCCCAAATGGACGCCGGTGGTCGCTGGAGGACTAGAACTCAGACACGTCGAGCTTGGTAACCGGCTACATAACCCCGTGCATCACCCCCATGAAATCAGCATCCTGACGCCTGAGAGCTGAGGAGTGTGGAGACGCCTCTCCAGCCTGCTCTCAGAGAGAGACAATCACGATGGCTCTCAGCTTCAGAACAGACAATCTCTGCCCGCAGAGCTTTGCGGGCACCCCTTCCTTTTGCGTCTGTCTTTCCCTCGGTGAAGAATCGAATTTCTACACCCGAGGGGGGCAGCTCTGTCTATAAATTCTGTGTTTTTTCCCACATCACAGCCTCACCTGAGTGCTGTCTCCTGATAGCAATCTCCGAGGGACCCCAAGTGGAAGGCTTGTTCCCACTCACAGATAAAGCTCTGGCTCGTGGCTGAGCTAGTCTAACGGGGACGGGTTAATAGAGAGAGAGGCTGATGGAAGGAGCTTTCAGAAGGCAGAGGCCCCGCGCTTGGTGGGTGGCTGGTTTCACTTTCAGAGTGACTGAGACGCCTGTTGCGAGTCCCCCCTCCGCATGGCGCCCCGAGCTCAACCCGGTCAGCTAGGGCCTCTGCTGATCAAATCCTGGTTCCCTGGGGGACAGAGTTCCTGGGATGCCGGGCAGGGGCAGGGCCTATGTGGAGCCCCCTAGCCGACCCTTCCCACCCCCCTGCCCTGTTTCTGCACATGTCCTCACACTCTGCCAAGCAGCCAAACCACCAACACCCCCACCCAACACCAGAGCACACATGACAGTACTCATTTCTTCACTTTGGTTCCACTTGTTTTGTCCCTGCTGTGCCTCTCTCCTCCCCGGGGATGTGGTAAGTGGGGTTGGGGATCCAGAGACCCTGTGAGTCCCAGCAGTGCCACCGCCTCACTGGCGGCAAGTCCCTCCCTGTGGTAATCTCTATTCTGGAGCTACAGACCACAGGAAAGGGCTGTGTGGCTAACATGAGGCAAACAGAACTAGCTAGAAGGATCTGACTAGATCAGTAGATCAAATCCTGGCTAGTTCAGGATTTGATCAGGAATGAACGCATGCAACATGCTCAGAACAGGGCTTGGCACGTAATAAGGACTGGGAAACGTGTTGCTATTATCTGGTTCCTCTCAGGGAAGGGTATGGCTTCTAGAAAATTCTACCTTCTCCATTTTCTCTGGACCCTTGGTAAGGCTGTAGCCTCTGGGGGCCTCTGATGCCTTTGAGGTGGGCTCTTTTGAACCTCCTGAGTGTTTATGGTTCCTTCTACCACTCCCAGAGTCTCACTGGCTAAGAGAGGGTCAAATGCTCACCCCCTAGCTGGCAAGGATGAGGCACTTTGATTGACAGCTTAACCACAACCTCACATAATGCAAGAGGCTAGCTCCCCAAAGAGAAATGGGGTGCTGTACCAGACACGGGCCAGACGGTGCTGAGCAAGCAAGAACCAAAGTTGCCAACAGGACTGTCTTTGGGCTCCATGCCCCGAGTCCCATAAGGATGGGCTCCAGCTGGAAAGGCCTCCTCTGATGGATGGAACCCCAGTGGGGCATCTGACTCCCTCAGGGGAGAAGAGAGTCTTCCCTGTGCTCAGAAGGGGCTCCTGGCCTGAGGAAGCCTTGCCGCTCCACGCTGAGGCCCCCCATTTAGGAGAGAACCAGGCAAGAAAGGAATACCCTTTGAGTGGAAAAAAGGGAAGCCAGCCTCCACCCCCCTCACACTGCGATCTAGGACTTGAACTAGTGACCTTGATCTCATGAGCCTCCTAAACTCACAAGCCAAGCTGAAAGCAGCAGAAGGCATGGGCCCCAGGTTGCGTCACCCTGTCTGGGGGAAGACCAGCGGCAGTCCCTTACTGGGCTGCTCTCCGGGAAATGACTTTAATCTGGACCTCAGGCAACCCCCTGGCCCCAAGGCCCTGATGAAGCAAGGCATGAGCCCAGACCGTGCGACCAGCCAGCTCCAGCACAGGACCCTGCCGCTACACCGCCTGCTCCTCTGACCCTCCCCTCAGGCCTGGGAACAAGTACCTAGGCGCCCCAGCCGCACCCCGGGGCCCAGACCAAACAGGCCTGGCCAGTGCACAGGGGCTGCAGGAGGTGCGGGGGAGGGTGAAGAAAAGACCACAGCACACTTGATCAGAAGGATGTGGCGGATGGCTTCAGGCCAGCGGCTCCAGACCAGAAGTGCTGCTGGCACCCTGGCTGCATCACCTGTCTTTCCTGCAGGAAGCAGGGGCAGCGGGAGCTGAGGGGGCTGGGGGTGGGGGCAGCTGTGAGGTGTGTGGTTTGGGCTGTGAAGTTCACACCAGAACAGGCCCGGACAGTCAAGCAAGTGGTCCTCTCACACCGGGCCCTCTTCCTGTTTCTCTTCTCAGCTCCTGAGATGGCCCTCTCCCGGCTGCCCCACCCCCATCCCCTGCCCACACCTGTCCCTTCTCGGGGCCAGAGCAAAGACCACTCAGAAAGTTGAGAAGAACTCACCTCAAAGGCATCAGAGGCCCTCAGAAGCTACAGCCTTACCAAGGGTCCAGAGAAGATAAAGAAGGTAGAACTTTCTAGAAGCCATACCCTTCCCTGAGAGGTGCCATATAATAGCAGGTAGCAAACACGTCCCCCAGTCCTTATGTGTTAGGCCCCGTTGTAAGCATGTTGCATGTGTTAATTCCTGAAATCTCCAAACGTGGCCAGAGGCCCAGCAGCACTGGCATCCCCAGCAGCTGGTGAGAAATGTACAGTCTCAGGCTCCACCTAGGCCCACCGAGTTAGACTCTGCACTACAGCCAGGCCCCCTGGCGAATCCCGTGGATGTGGATGTTCGAGAAACCTTGTTCACCCTGATGCCAGTGCCTCCAGCAGGTGCTCTTTGGTGTCCTATCATGCAGTGGGGAAACTAAGGCACAGAGAGGTTAAAGGCCTTGCCCAGGGTCACACAGGTGGGCTCAGACTTGAATCCGGACCTTCCGGCTCCAGAGTACATGCTCCTAACAGCAGGGCTTCTGCTGCCTTGGGATGAGGGGGCTGTGGGTACGTCTGGCACTGCCTGGCCAGGCTGCTCTGACCCTCCACAGCCCACTCCAGCCTCCTCACCATTTCCCTGACCCCCTCCTCCCTGGGGAGAGTCTGCACACACTTTCCCAGACATGGAAGGTAGCAGTCAGCATGCACCATTTAAGCAGCCACATCAGCTCAGCTCTGGGCTAGGACATAGGGTGGCTGCAGAAGGAGCTCACGGCTCAGAGCCCGGGGCCTGCGGGAGAGACTGCACACAGCCAAGTGCGCGCCACAGTGACTGCAGCTTGCATGGGATGTTCAGACTCTCCTGGGCCATGGCTCCTCTGGGCAGGCCTCATGGAGGAGGCAGATTTTGAGCCAGGCCTTAAACACTGAAAGCTGGCTAACGGGGCAACGGGCAGAGGTGGCAGTGGGCAGAGATGTGCAGGCATCCGTGTGGCTAAAGGAGAGGCCTGATATTTTAAGTATCCCTGAGTCCAACCACCTCCACAGCATCTCACCCCTGACCAGACTCCCTTGAATTCCCCTAGTGATAGGGACATCATTCCCTCCTGGCAGCATGAGCTCATTTCAGTGCCAGTGGACACACAGGTGTGGCCATTCCAGCCAGCACACCAGACTCCTGTCAGGCTTCCTTCAAGCAAGCCTGCACCAGGCAGACACCACCTGGGGCGCGGGGGCCGCCTCGCGCACAGTCCCTGCTACATCAGACGTCCCCCATCCTTGGCCCCTAAAGTCCTGGCCCTTTGGAAGTGCCACCAGCAATGTATCTGCACAGGTGGGCGTCCCTGCCCAGGGTGGCTGCCAGGGGCACCCTCTACTGCACCCTGGGGACAGCACTGGAAAGGGGCCCCTTGACACCTGAGCGGCACCTGCCGAGAGGAGCCCTGGGGGCTGCTCCGTCCTTGCACACAGCCCCTCTGGACCAGGGCTCCTTGGAAGGTTGAGCACCAAGGCTGTGCCTCCCCCTACCCGGGGACAGGCCGGAGGGCACTCCATTCCCGACCCCTCTGATCCTCAGTTACCGGCAAAAGGAAGACCCCAGGACTCAGATGTTGCCCACCACAGGCACTCAGTAGCTGCTTTAAGAATTCTTGAGTTAATCATGCCATTTGCAGCAACATGGAAGGGGCTGGAAGGGATTAAGCTCAGTGAAATAAGTCAGAAGGAAAAAGAAAAATATCGGATGGTTTCACTTACAGGAGGAATGTGGGGGCCCAAACAAGGGAATTTTATGAGGATTACACCTGAGAGGAAAACTCAAACATTGTTCAGAAATGAGCAATTATGTAAACTATAGAGAGAGGTACAGATAGATAAAAAATAATAAAAAATTTAGAATTCTTGAGTTAAAATGCTGCAGGGCTCAGGGAAGGGAGGGCCCAGAAGTGGCCACCAGAGGGCGGTACTTGCTCTCCCCAGTCTCCACGCAGGGCTGCTGGCAGGAGGCAGCTGAGGCCCGGCCAAGGAGGGCTTCCCAGACTGGACAGGCCCGCCTTCCTCTCTGGGAGTTCCAGGTGGCTGCGGGACACCAGGGGCAAGCCAGCAGGGCCTCCAGATTCCAGGAGGACGAGGAGCCAAGAAAGGAGAAAGCCAAGACCGGTGACCTGAAGGGAACTTGGAGGCTCTCAGCTCCAGATTCCCTCCCTGCACAGACGCTGGGCCTGGGTCCACAGAGGGGCAGCGAGGCAGGGGCTAGAACTCGAGCTTGTAGGCTCTGTGGCGAGCAGGGAAGCAGAGCCCCTTGGCGGGCTTCCTCAGGGTAGGTGTCGCCAATAAAGCTCTGACCGAAAACAGGGCCTTTCAATAGGCTTTATTCACACAATAGGCTTTATTCACACGAGTCGCACACGATCAAGCACCATGCCTAGCGCCACCCTATCGCTGTGTCCCTCGAGCGATCGCTTACCGCAAGGTCACTTTAGTCGCCGGGGAAGAGTTGTCCGTGGTCCGGCAGCTCGTGTTCAATCTCTTGAACTCAGCAGCTCGAGTACTGTCTCGGTTCCGCAGGGTTGCCCGGCAGGTGCAGCCCAGGAACGACGTTGGGTCTTCTTCTGTGGCTCTCGAAGGGGCGAGGCGGCTCTCAGTCACGCAGCAGAACATGCTGATCTTGAGCTCACCTTGAAGGTGAAGGGCTTTGCGATCGCTCGGTTTATATGCTTTCCCGAAGCGAGGTTACGTCATTTATTTTCTCAACATATTTTCAATCACTTGTTTACATCCAATAACATATATACGTAAATATTTACGTCTTACTTTCACCAAAATATTTTCTTCACTGCAAATTCATCACCAAAACAAAAATATTTACTTTCATTCGCCCTTGGACAGCTGGTGTCTGATGACAATGTGCGTTTCGTTGCGTCATTCACTCCCGACCAGCGTCTGTTGTGCGCAGTCTGTGCCTGCGAGAAGCTGGTATGCGCGAGGAATGCAAGTGATGTTTACAACTGACATACTCGCGACAGCCTCCCATATCGCTTGCGGATTTGTCAGGATGCTTTAGGGTGCAGGGAATGCAGATCCAATTCCAAGAGCGCAAGGGGAATCCCTCAGGCCTGAGGCCGGGCACACTCAGCAGGGAGCTTAACCTGGGGGTTCCACATCTCCCCATATTAGGTTAAAAAAGGGTTCACCTCCTTCTGGCCCTGGCTTCTAGCGCCCCTGACCACGCCAAGCCACAGCTCTTTGCCCCTCCTGCATCTCTTGCCCGTAACCCTGGGCGGTGTCCATCTCACTTCCGGCCTGAGTGCCCTTGAGGGCTGAGGCTTAGAGCCTGCAGCTGGTGCTGACCGCACCCTCAGCCCGCCCTCCCTGCCTGCCCGTCCGGGCCTGAGACTCTGTGGCGACCTGTGTCACGTCCGTCTCCCCACAACCTGTAAGCCCCGCACGGCAGGACCCTGTGGCTCTGTGCTCTTGGCGGCCCCCAGGGCCGCACCTGTAATGTGTGGTCGACCCGTGACTGTTGAATGAATGAATGAACGAACGAATGACACTATCCAGTCTCTGCACTTCTTCTGTAGACGAATGTCATAAATGGTCTACCTTTAACAGCAACTCACCCCACGGGGAGGCTCCTGTGTGCCAGCACCTTGCATACATTTATTTATTTATTTTTAAAGATTTATTTATGCATATAAAAGTTGGGGTACAGGCCAGAGATGCGGGGGGGGTGGTGAGAAAATTCACCAGAGACAGAGTGGGGAGCAGAACATGCAGACTGACCGAAACACACTGCTGAGGGGAACAGCGGGCGAGACAGGCGAGGTCTGCTGCATCATGTGGGTAGCTCTCTGGCTGGCTGGGGATCAAACTCTTGCTGCAGAGGCTGCGGATTGCTTCATAGTGCAGTGCTTAACTCCTTGCGCCACTAGGGAGGCCCACCTTGCACACATTTAGCTCCTTCAGCCCTCCCAGCAGCTTTTGGGGCCAATGTCTATCATCACCCACCCCCATTTTCCAGATAAAGAAACTGAGGCCCAGAGAGATCAGGCCACTTACCCTCATTCACCCAATTAGATCTGAACTCCAGTGGTGCTTCCCGCTGCCTCGGTTGAGCCCAGGGAAGGTCAGCCCTGCTGGGGACGGAGGGGGCTCCCAGAGGTGGGGACACTCATGTGGAGAGAGCCCCTGTGCCCCGGAAACTTGAGGCCAAATAGGTAGGGCTGTCAGCTGATAAGAGCTGTCACCAGGATTCTCGAGGTGAAGACCGCCCCCCAAGTCTGGGAAGGCTCCCTAGAAGCCCGGGACCCTGGCTGAGTCAGACTCCGCGTCCGCTCGTGGCCAGGGAGCTCTTTGAGGAGAACGGCGGCACTCCTCTTGGCCGCCTTTCCCCCCACGTCCCTTCAGATCTGGATTGAGGGTCCAGTCCAGCTCCCTGGGGTTCGTAGGTAAATCTCGTTTCCAGTAAGCCTATTCTCTTTCCCAGAGGTTGGGGTAGGTCAGGTCATGTGACGGGTTCTGGCCGACGAGGAGTGAGGAAAGACACTGGATGGAAAATCTGATTCTTTCATGACCTGCGTCATGCCTGATGTGACACCGGCACTGGGGCAGCTTCCTCTGGCCCCGTTTGTCCTGTGCCCTGGGGGCAGCTGGCCCAGGGGCAGAGGCTCACTTCAGTGTGCCCGGCCTCAGGCCTGAGTGATTCCCCTTGTGCTCTTGGTATTGGATCTGCATTCCCTGCACCCTAAAGCATCCTGACAAATACGCAAGAGGGGTGTGGCCAAAAGCAGAGGAAGGGGGGTGTGTCTTCTCCAGGTTTTTAGGCGTCAGAACAGGCAAGGGAGAGCCTGGGTGCCCAGCCAAAAGCGTCAGAAGGGGAGGCATGACATGGACATCAGTCCCCTGCCCACCAACACCCAGATGACCCCTAAGTGCCTCTGGAGGAAGCAGGTAAAGAGGCAGCAAGGAATGTGTCAGTGTTGGGGCTCCTCCCCTGACAGAGCCTGACAGGGGCCACAGAGAGGACCCCCAGTAGGTTTGGAGCATCTGAGATCCAGGGGGACCCTCCCTCTCTCCCCGGACAGAACCCCAGGGAGGCGGCTGAGACCTCAGCGAAGAAATGGCCACGAGGTGTAGACAGGGCAGTGGGTCAGACACAGGCTGCTCTGAGGGACATAGAAGTTTTTGGCACCTGTGCACAGAGCACCTGGGCGTCCTGGGAGGCCCTGCAGGTAGCCAGGAACCAGAGCTCAGAACTCAGCTGATGGCATGTGGGCACAGGTGCCAGGGCCCTGCCACCGCCAAGAGCATTTCTTCAACTTCAGCAGGACGGAAACACTTAATGGACATGAAGATTAGCTGGGCCATAAACAAGTCTGTTTTGTGTGCAGCTGAGATTGGGGCATCAATTCATTCCCCTCAGTGGAGATTAACAGTCAGCAAGCGAAGGTGGGTCGCTGGCACCCACACCCACGCCGCTGCCCTGCAAAGGACACGTTTCCTCCGTGTGCCTGGACCCCACCTACTGCATCCTCCTACCCGCACTGCAAGTGGTGACTTCATGCCCGTCCTGACCCTGAGCTACAGCCCCATCCAGTTTCTGTGCCCCCAGCCCCCCATCCTCCCAGGTTTGTGGGCCAGCGCTCCCGCCAGGCCAGCTTAGCGCCGCCAACTCTTGACTCCTGTCATGGAAATCCCTGCTTCCTCTCTGGCTCAGACTCCCCTGTCGGCTCCACCCGTAATGCGCTTGACATCTGTTTGTGGTCACGTTGAGATTTTGTCTGTGTCTCCCCTTCTCCGGGCTTATACGTGGCAGCCTGCGGCTGCTGGGATGGGTCTGAGGAGGTGGTGGTGGGGGTCCGACTTCTGCCTCTGGCCAAGGACTCCTGGCTCCTGTTTCTGGCTGCCCCTCTCAGTGAGTCATTTATTCATCCAACAATTGCTCCTTGCACACCCACTCCCTGCAGGCCACGGAAAAGGCACCAACGTCACTCCATTCGGCCCTTTTGGAACAAAACGGAGATTCACAGGGAGGAAGGGACAAGCCCGGGTCACACCTACAGGAGCATTCAAGTCTGCTCCGAGCCAGGAGCTGGTCAAAGGACATGTGAACCCAAGCTCAGAGCCCCCACAACCAAAGGAGCCCTGATCCCCTGGCCCTCCACCCCCAGAGACCACCACCTCTGGAATTTGAGCCTGTGCTGCTGCTCTGAAACTTTTCAAACCCCGCTGAGTGCACTTTATGTTCGCTGCTGCAGTCAGCACTGGCTGCACCTTGCCGTCCCATTGTTAATCTGGGGCGCTAATTCGAGGCTTTGGAACTGTAGCATCTCATGCAGACTTGGAAACCCCCAAAGGCCTCAATGGGGCACTAGAGCAGGGATTCTGAATCTGACCTGCCAGATAAGGATACTAAGGGGGTCCAGGGAGTTTGTTCGCCTTCAGAGGATGACAGCAGCACCCACTGGGCAACCTCTCATCCAGCCCTGTGGGGTGCCCCAAGGGGTAAATTATCATCATCCCCATTTTACAGACAAGGAAATTGAGGCTCGGAGATGTGGGGACTTTCCCAAAGCCACAGCCACGCACTGCACAGCAGACTCTGGGCTGGTTCCTGGGCAGATCCGCTGCCCGAGTGACTGAGGAGGCTGGTTTCTTTGTGCATGAGAAGTCCCGGACCTGAGCCCAGGGGAACCAGGACCAGATGCCCGCCCAAGGTGGGCGAAGGGAGCCACGCAGAAAGCAGCAGCTGAGTCGCCGGGAAGACACAGCAATCTTTAATCACGCTGGATAAGCAGGGCAGGGGCGAGGCGGGCAGAGGCTGGACTCTCCGTCAGGCCTGGCCCCCGGCCCCCGCCACGCAGCCCTGAGCCCGTGGCTATGAGTGAGCACCAGAGAGCACCGCCAGGGCCGCATCAGCCCCGGAGTCTGCATGAGCACCAGTGGGTGGCGGCCGTCTCCCTGGGGAGAGTTTCAGGCCACCTGGAGTCGGGGGCGAGGAAGACCAGCGCAGTCAGGCCGCGCCACCCCAGGAGCGGGAGAAGCGACATCAGGCCTGATGTCCCTCCTTAGCCTTGGCTTACCCGCTGCCTCTCTTGCTGCGTGGCTCAGAGGAGGACCCCCTGACTGACCTGGAATGCTGCCCGCTTCAGTTCCCCAGACCTGCTGAGGGACCCTAAGCCCAGTGCCTACCCCAACCAGGCCCAGCACCCGACGGCATGTATAAAGGAAGCACCAGACCAGAGGAGGCTCTGCTGGGGGCGACTGCCCACCAGACTCAGCACCTTAGCAAAGCTTGAGAGCCGGGGTTGCCGGACTAGAGGGAGGGGGTCACGAGATTCAGAGAGTCGGGGCACAGGCATCAGGGCTGACAGTGGCTGGGAGGCTGGAGGGCTGAGGCTCAGAGGCCCAGAGGCCTTGGCAGGCAGGTGAGCAAGGCCCTGGAAGTCCCCGGAACAGGGTGGGAGGAGGTGAGAAACCTTCGCTGGGGTACACAAGCTATGAGGGGAGCTTCAGGTTTGGGCACCCTTCTCAAGGGACCAACGTTGCCCCAAATGCCGCTAAGGCCTCCCCTCATAGCACTCTTGCCCCGCCCAGGACCCCTTGGTGTTGGCTTTACTGATGGGCACAGGAAGGAGGGGAGTGGGCAGGGCTGTCCCACCCCGTAACTCCATCCTGCCAGGCTTGAAGAGCCACAGGCAGGAGGGGCTGCAGGACTGAACCCCAGCCTGCAGACTTGTGGGGAGGGACCCATACATCTCTTGGGGTCTGCACATCCTGGCGGGACTGGGTGCACCTGAGGGCAGGCCCGGTGCCCGATTCACCTCCAGGTGTTGCATGAATGAGGATACGAACGTGGTCACACAGGAAGGGGCGCAGAGGAGCGTGTGAGGGAAGGAGAAAGAGGACAGAGGAGGGAATTAGCATCCAATGAGCCAAGAGGACAGCAGGATGCTGGCAGGATTCTAGAACACTTGGAGGATTCCAGAATGTTCAGAAAACCCTAGAAGGCTGTGCAAGATCTGGAACCTGGTTACCCAAGTGGGCCCCCAGGCCAGTAGCACCGGCTTGGCCTAACACGGGTTAGAAACACAGACTCCTCGGCCCCTCCACAAGCGCTTTGCATCTTAACAAGACCTCCAGGTGATGTGTGCACATTCCAACCTGAGAAGCACCGGCCTGAAAGGTGGGGAAAATTCTAGAACATGTAGGTTAGGAGGTTTAAAGCACAGCCGAGGAGCAGATGGCAAGGGACGACGAGGCGGGCTGCCCGGAATGCCAGGTCCGGGCCCCTCCAGCAAGGAGCAGCCGCAGCCAGGGCCCCGCAGGAGGCGCTAATCCTCCTCGGGCTTGATGAGGTGGCCGCTGAAGGTGATGTAGGTGTCCACGTCGTCGCTGTAGACAGCGTTCTCCCTCTCGCGCTTGAAGAGCCGCACCCAGACGCGGTCGCCGGGCGCCAGGGCCAATATCACGCTCTGGCTCTGCATGATGCTGCGGTCGCTGGGCTGGGCGTACAGGATCACGGCCGCCTCCTCGTTGTGCACCACGTGCACGTAGGTCTCCTTGAAGTTCCAGCTGTGCACGTTGAGGCTGAAGAAGTAGAGCCCCCCCAGCGGGGCGACAAAGTGGCCGGCAGCCAGGTCGAAATGGCCATCGGGGTTCACAAAGACCGTGTCGAAAAGCAGCGGCTGGAAGCCCTCGCTGCTGTGCAGGGCCGTCTTGCGGCCCACTGAGAAGGCCGAGAAGCGCGTCTGGCATGGGCTGCCGGGGCTGCCTGCCTGCCCCTTGGCGCCCTTGCTGCCCTGTGGTCCCCGCTCTCCCCGGGGACCCTCCCTGCCCAGCTTCCCGGGTGTGCCCAGCAGGCCTCGGTCCCCTTTGTCACCTGTGGGGACAAGAAGAGAGAAGTCAGGGTGGCCACCCAAGCTCTGCCCATCTGCAGAAGGTTCTGCCCCTGCCCAGGCCAGAGAGGGAGCCAGCATGTAGTGGACACACTGCTTGCCAGCTGTGCCCTCTGTGGGCCCTCTAATGCCTCCACGACCCTCTGCACTCACAGGTTGAGTGTCCCACGGATGGCCACACAGCCCAGGAGCAGAAGGGCCCCGGCCCCTGTACCCCTGTGGAGTGTAGGTAGCGAGGTGCACCTGGCACCTCTGACCCAGTGGAGGAACCAAGAGAAATACCCTTGCCCACCAGAGCCGACCCCTGGCACAGGGCGGGGTGGCCTGTGCCAGCCTCAGACGCAGATGCTGGGTTTCCCCTGACACTGGTGTAACCTCCCTCCCCATCTGCAAGACGGAACTAATGACAGCTACTGAATTCTCGGGGTTGTTGTGAGTGAAGACAGAGGTCTAGGGTGTGAAGGGCCTGCGGGCACCGCGCATGGCCTCCTTCTTGCACCCTCCTACCCGCCGTCTTCTCTCCGGGAGACAGTAGAGCCATCCATTCGCGAGCTAAGTCTGGCCAGGCCTCTGTCCTCCCCATTTCACTTAGAGGAGAGTCTCACGTGATCTGTCTCCCCTTTAGCTGCTCCCCTCGTCCCTGCTCCTTAAACACATCAGGCCCTTCCTGTCCCCGGATCAGGCCAGTCCAGCCCGAGTCACGCGGGGGTCCTCACCCTTCAGGATGGTGATGTTAATGTAGGGCTTGACCTCAGGCAGCACGTACGGATGGGCAGCCGGAGAGGCCGGGGACGCATCTGCCGCATCAGCGGGGGCCAGGAGCTCCTCGGGGTCACAGCACCGTCTGCAACGCCCAGGAGGACCAGAGGCCGCCACTTCCCCGGCGTTGGGCTCCTGGGTGGGGACCCCAAGCACCAAGAGAGGGAGCAGGGGCAGTGCCCAGAGGAGGCCCAGGGCAGCCATCCCCATGGCGACCGGGAGCCTGCAAGGAGAGGCAGAAACACGTTTAGCTTGACTGTCAAGGCACCAGGGCCCAGCATGGGTGCTGCATCCACGTGCATTGCTGAGGGTCGCGGGGGGGGGGTGCCAGCGCCCCCATCTAGTCGGCAGGAAGCCTGAGGCAGACACCGAGAAGCAAGTTGACCCATGCCATGAAACGACTGTGGCAGAGCAGGCCATGGTGGCTGAGTCTCCCGGAGCCCAGGCCACGGCGGCCAGCAGAAGAGGGTCCCGGGAGGCCTGGAGGAGGTGGGTGAGGACCAGGCCGGCTGCCCCTGTGTCTAGGCCAAAGAAACAGCAAAATGCCTCCCGCCTGCCTCTGGCTGCCTCTCCTGCCATTGACGGCAGCATCTCCTGCAAGTCCTGCCAGCGGCGCAGCGTGAGCGAGGCTAGCATGCCCAGGGACAGCACGGACGATTCTGAGTCTCGTTCTCCAGGCGAGGGGACCCGGGGTTGAGCCCGTGTGGCCGTGGGCACAGGGGTCCCCACAAGGGAGCCAGGAAAGTATCCTGGCAGGCAGGAGGCAGCGTGTCTGAGCAGCGCCCAGAGCCAGGTGATAGCATGGAGAGCCAGAGGAGGGGCTGGGCTCCCCAAGGCCACTGCTGACCTCTGCAGCGCCTCTGCGCAAGGAGAAGGGGCACCCTCTACACAGGCAAGTCAGGAAAAAAAAAGAAGTCCCTTTTGGGAAGGGGGTGGGCATCTTGGTGCAGTCAACAGCCCACACCACTCCACCTGGCGGGCAGCCCCCGGGGACGGTGCCAGGAGAGCGAGTTCCCTGGGAGGCGGCACAGCCAGCATCACAGACCTGGCGAGCGCGGCCGAGTTGGGAAACTGGACTGAAGGGGCAGGACCACCAAGTCTGGAAAATTCAAAAGGCTCAGAGGAGTCCCAGGGTTCATGAAAATCCACCATCAAGCTTGGCCAAGCAGGGACCCAGGAGGGCAGGAAGCAGCCTGGACAGCGGGCTGGAGGCAGGCGGGCGGTGGGCAGGAAGCCGGGCAGTGGCCTTTGAGGTGGTGGCAGTTTGGGGGCTGGCGCCGGGTTATCGCAGGATCAGAAACTCGGCTTTTGAAACCAGACTGGTTTTTACACTTCTGGTGTTTCTTTGTTTATTTCCTTTTTGTTCTCCTTTAACATTTAGTACAATTCAAAAATATTTTTCTGTGGTTAATACATTATTACTATTTTTTTTTCCCTGTCACCTTAACTCAGCTGAGCACTGAGCCGAATCTTAAAGGGGCAGGAGCCTCAGCCCCTTCCCCTGCAGGAGGCGGGAGGGGTGGACAGGTGGACAGGTGTCTCTGAGCGAGACCACCCTTCTCCTGGAGGTGACCCCTCCCAGCCTCACTGCCCCCAGCCCACTCGTCCAGCCTCCTGTTGGAGCAGTGGGCCAGGGTAAATCCTCAGCGATCAGCATTCTCACCTCCTCTATCTGTAAGTGACAGGTCCCTGTGGTTGTGAGAACAAAAAATCCCCTCTTTTTCTGACCATAGATGCGACCTCATGGGGAAAAGGGAGCCTTCAAGTCAGACCCGAAGAGATCCCAGGAGTTTGCAAGCTGTGTGACCTGGGGTTAGCGGCTTAACCTCTCTGGGTTTCCTGTTCCTTGCCTTAATCTCCCTCCCAGGCCATAGGAAAGGATTCAAGAAAATGCCGACCTGTGAAAGATTCCAGAAATGCAGGCAAAGTGCCTGACTCATAAAAAAGACTCAATAAAAAGTTTGTTCCTTCTTCTGCCCAACCTGGACCTCTTCCCAGAGGAAGAGCAGACTTCCCCCCAGAGGACGGGCACAGCTGGGGAGGCTTCTGCTGGGCCTGGCCAGGAGAGAGTCAGAAGCTCGGAGACACAGGACTGCAACAGAAGCAGGACACAGGAAGCAAAGCCACTGTAAAGAGTGACCGTAACCACAGGGAGGCCATCGTCTGGCCCTGGAGGGTGCTGGGCGGCCATCAGGTGTGAGGGGCCAGGCCAGTCTGGGGGCGCTGGGGGTCCCCGCAGCCTCTACCCGGGAGGGAGGAGGCCGGCGCTGCAGAGCTGAGTGGGTGTGCATGCGTCAGGGGCGGGCACAGCCCAGCGCCAGCTACCCAAGTCTCCGTCTGCAGGGGGGAGGGGGAGGGTAGAGCCTGGAGGGATTTGCTGGGGAGCGCGGGGCCTGAGCCGGGGCCAGGAAGAGAGGAGGGAGGAGAGGGATCCCAGGCTCTGACCTCAGCCTCCAGGGCGCTGGGGCCCCGGCAGCGGCCCCCCATCACTCACCCTGCGTGCGTCCCGTCCCGTGGCCTCGCAAAGCACAGCCGCTCACTGACCCCGGGCCTCTGGGCCGCCTCTGGCTCCTCGGCCCATGTCCGTGGTAATAAGTCCTTGCTGGCCCAGACCCCCAGGCTCAGCTGAGGAGGGAGGGAGGGAGGGAGGGAGGGAGAGAGATGGGATGGAGGCAGGGCGGAGGAGGGCGGAGGGAGCCCAGGCCGGCTTCCCACTTCCCCTCTCCCTGTTCCCTCCCCTCCAGCCGCTGGGCTCTGTGGAGCTGAGGGAGCAAGGATTCCCTTAACTCTTTGATGGTCCAGTGGGCGCTGCTGGAGCCACAGATAGAGTGAAGGGCTCTGAGGCCCCTCGATGTACAGGCTGGATGGGAAGTTGAGGCCCTGAAGGGGGAGCAGCTACCAGAACCCCAGCGACCAGGGGCCTCCAGCCTCAGCTCCAGAGGCAGAGAGGCCGGAGAGGCGTGGACACCAGCCCTGCAGCCACAGGTTCAAATCCTGGCCCTGCCACCCACTGACCAGTGACTTGGACGCTGTAGTCCACAGAGCTTCCGCCCTGCCCCACGCAGGCCTCCGGGCAGGGAGGAGCAGACACAGCAAGTCCTCATTTCTCCTTTCCTGCAGGTTCTGGCAAACTTTGACTTTATGTCCAATAGCAAGAGCAGGTCCGGGCCTCCCTGGTGGCACAGGGGTTGGGCACCGCACTATGAAGCTGTCCACAGCTTCTCAGTTCGATCCCCGTCAGGCCAGGGAGCAACCCACATGGCGCGGCAGACCTCTCCTGTCTCGCCTGCTGCTCCCCTCAGCAGTGTATTTCAGTCTGTCTGTCTGTTCTGTTCCCTGCTCTGTCTCTGGTGAATCCTCTCACACACACACACACCCCGCCCCAACCCCCCCACCCCCGCACCCCCCCACCTCTGGCCTGTGCCCGGGCTGGCTCTTGTATGCATAAATAAATAAACCTTAAAAAAAAAAAAAACAAGAGCAGGTCCTCGGATAAATTCTCCGCAAAGCAACGTAAAAACAAAAGGACTTCATTCCCTTTATACCTGCCCAATCCCCTCCTCAGGGTCTTGGAAGGCAGCCGCCAGTCAACTCCCAGCTCCCAGTGGGCACCAAGCTCTCCTGCCCTGCCTGGAATTCTGCCACAACTGATTCATCCTCCGGGCCTGGAGTTCACAGGAGGCCACGGCCCGCAGGGCCCCAGGCTGCCAGCATCCTGCTTCAGTTACCTTCAGGATAGGATGTGGGAGGTTTTGCAAAGGCTGCAGCCCTGGGCCTCGGGGCTCAGAGACCCCTGTGCAAAGCCCATCTGGCCCTCTAGCACCTCTCAATCAGCACTTGAGGGTTTACTGCCTGGGCCAGGCCTCATCTTTGCAGGGGCTTTTGGGACTCAGAGAGGGTTGGCATGCATTATTTCAAGGAACTCCACTCCAGCCTTAGGAGAGGGAGCTAGGGTGGGGTTGAGGTGACTTCAGTGGAAGGGCCCCATCCACATGCTGGCCAGAGAACCCAGTATTGGGGGGGTGGGGGCAAAGGCTGCAGTTCAGGGCTGTCCCTTGGGAGGAGATGGGGACCCTCTCACATTGGGGTTGGAGCAGAATGCAGGGACCTGAGCGGGATGTTTGGGCCTTGGGTGCCAAATCCCAGTTCCCACTGACAGTCCCTGGGGGGTGGGGGTGGGGTGTTGTGTTCTTGACCAGGGCTCATCACTGGGCCTCAGCTTTCCTATTAGTTCAGGGGAGAATCTAAGAGCCGAACATCAAGGCTGGAAGGTCCCTGGCGATGATCTAATCCAATTCCTTCAGCTGACCAGGGGGGAAGACCTTGACCCAGGGAGGCCAGCTCTGTGGCTCAAGGCCCCAGGGCAGGCTGGAGTCCAAGCTGGGAACAGAGCTGGGTTCTCCCAACCTCCAGGCGCTTGCACGTTCCCACCTACTCCCCCAGCCCACTGGGAGCCCCCACACCCTGTAGGGGTCCACAGAGAGCAGATCTGTAGGAACTGCGGCCACTGGGAAGCTCAGATCCTCCCTGGCTTGCCCCAGGCAGCATTCCCAGGGCCCAGAGCCAGGGCTGCAGACCCGGAGGGGGTGGGGAGCCATCCCCTCAGTCTTTCCAGGCTGCACCACAGAAAAAGGGCTGAGTCAGCAGAGCCCCAGGGGAGACAGCTCCTGGCCTCTGAGATCTGGCTGAGAAAACCAGCCTGAGAACAAAGAGGAGCGGGAAGGGAAGAGGCTGGGGGGCGGGGACAGCAGCCTGGGGACGCGGAATGCCTGCGTCCAGGGCTTACCATGCACCCTGCCCTGTGCCTCACTCAATGTCCCCTGTCAGGGGAGGCTGCTCCCCCCACTTAACAGGGCCACAGGCTGAGGCCTGAAAAAGCACGAGGACTCTAGGTTCTAGGCCAGCTCCTTTGGCTCCCAGCCATGCCTGTGCCCCAGAAAAAGTTCCCTGTCCCCCTTTGGTCCAGGGAGGCTGGCTGGGGGTAGGGCAGACTCAGGAATATTAAACTTCATCATTTTTTTCCTCCTGCTCTCTTTCACCATGCCTAAAGTTCCTCCATCTGGGTATCAACCCCTCACCCCTCCCACGTCCATCTCCAGCCATTCTGAGGGTCTCCCCAGCTGGCCGGGCAGCTCAGAGACAAAGCTCTGGCTGTGAGGCAGCCCAAACTGGGTTATATCTCAGCTGCAGCTCCTCCAGCTCCATGACCTTGGACATGCCTCCCCGCTTGACGCCTGGTTGTCCCTGGGCCAGAGAGCAGGAGGAGGCCAAGCCTCTCTGAGCAGCCTGGTGGGGACCCCAACAGAGGGACTGGTCATCGGCGCTGCTTCCCCCGTTAAAGGGGGGATCTGGTGAGGGCATGCACCCCTCATGCACGCTCAGCCTGGAAGCCCTGGGACCCAGGACATCAACAGGTTCAGAAGCCCCCCCCCCCTTTGTTCTGTAAAAACCCCTATAGCAAGGGCAGAGTGCCAGCGCATCGGGCCAGACCTTTGTCACCAAGGTCAGAGACCCAGGGCCTGAGCCAAGCATGTGCAGCCACCCCCTGCTCACAGAAAATAGTGTTCACTCCCACCAGGTCCGGCAGAGTCTGTAGCCCACTAACTCCCGACCCTCTCAACACCCCGGGCGGGCATGGTGTTATCCCCATTTTACCCACGAGGAAGAGGAGGTTCAGACAGACCACACAACTCACAGGCCAGGGTGGGGAGAAGGCAGGTAAGTCCTCACCTGATGGGGACCCACAGGTTCCGGGAAGTGGCACTTTGAAGCGAAACAATATGCTCGGAACCGAGTGCCAGGATAACCCACTTATTCCCATGTCCACGGGTTGGGTTTTTTTTTCTCCATCAACATAATGAAAGGACAGAAAAGCTATTCTAGGATGTGCTGTATGAAAAGAGTGATATTTAGTCCATGCTCACAGAGCCCCAGGCACCCTTCCTGCATTGAAAGGGATAAACCGTGTGCCTGTCAAAAAAAAAAAAAAGACACAAAAGACAAAACACGACGACTCTGGCGCGAGCAGCAGGAAAGTCACAGACCCGCCTGGGCAGGGGCAGCAGGAATTAACAGCGACAAGGAGGCCGTGAGCGCCACCTGGCGGCGGCCTGCGATGCCCCGGCCCACCCCGCACCCCCCCAGCACCCCACCCCGAGAGGCCCCGCGGGTCCCCATCCTAGGGCCTGCAGGGGGGAGGGCGCGGGCCGGTGAGGGGCCCGCCGGGGGCTGGGGGGGCCGCCCGCGCGCTCACTTCTGCCTCTGAACCCCACTCCCGGCACAGCAGGCAGAGGGTCCACCAGCACCCCTGTTCTCCAAAGCAGCCTGCTTAGGGGCGCGGGGGGTGGGGGTAGAGGGGGAGCGGGGGGAGGGAGGCAGGGGGGGTTCTCCCGGCTGCGCGGCCCCGGATCAGTTTCGCCCTCAGGGCTCAGTTTCTCCAGCCTGGGCTTGCAGCAACCTTGTCAGACCCCGAATTAGGAGCGTTTAATTCCATTTTTCAAGGAGAAACTGAACCCCGAGGTCCTGGGAAGGAGAAGTGGGCGCCACCCCAGCCCTCTGCCGCCCCCCCCGCCCCAGCCAGGACCCTGTTAATCGTTTAGGACGGGAAACTGAGGCTCAGTCAGCAGGTGCAGAGATGACTAGTGCCGGGGCAGGAAGGGGCCGCGCGGCGCGTGGGAGGCCAGCGCCAAATTCCCCTTTTCTTTCCGTAGAAGTGAGGGGGGTCCCCCTCCGTAGAGGTGAGGGGGGCGGCCCCCCGACCCCGGGGCCAGCTGCCGCAGCCCCGGGCAAGGCTCTGGCGGCCTCCAAGCCGCCCAGGCCTCCGCCAAGCCGACCCCCGCTGCGGGGAGCCCGGGCAGGTGGGGTACTCGGGCCTTGGGGGCCCTCCCCCCGGAGGCGGCCTCCAGCGCGCAGGGAGGCGCCGCGGGGGTGGGCCGAGCGGAACCAAACATGGCCGAGCAGAGCCGAGTCCGGCCGAGTGCGCCGAGCAGAGCCGAGGTGTGGCCGAGCAGAGCCGAGGTGTGGCCGAGCAGAGCCGAGCAGAGCCGAGGTGTGGCCGAGCAGAGCCGAGGTGTGGCCGAGTGCGCCGAGCAGAGCCGAGGTGTGGCCGAGCAGAGCCGAGTCCTGCCGAGTGTGCCGAGCAGAACCGAGGTGTGGCCGAACAGAGCCGATTCCAGCCGAGCGGAGCGCGGCCTCGGTGAAGTCCTACGGCGCCCCCTGCCGGACACAGAGCACAGCGCCGGCCTCGGTCTGAGCGGGCAGGAAGCCCTGCCGGTGCTGAAGCGCACCTGTGGGAGGCGGCGTGGAGCCCATCTGACAGGAGCAGACAGGCTCCAAGAGGTGCAGAGGCTGCTTCAAGGGCTCACAAGAGCTAGAAGTGGAGCCGCTGGAGTTCAAACCTGATTGTGTGGCCCAGAGCTGACTGCCACCCTCGCCTGAGGGCATTCTGTGTTTGCTTTGTTGTCCAGGCAATTGCTGCCATTTATTATGACCAGAAAGGAGGACAGGCCCACCCTATCTGACGAGCAGCCAGAAGGCCAGAGCTCGGAGACAACCGCTCCCCTTACAGAGAGAGAATGAAGCAGGCTCTGGCTGTGATGCCCGGGTGCGGCGCTGGCCAGCACATCCCCAGTGCAAATATGGACATATTTCCCGGCCAAAGAGTGGCAGGACCGAGAGGCCACAGCCCATGCCAGGTCTGCAACAAGATGGCCGCGGAGGACATGGGCTCCCGGCCGCCTACAGGCTGTCCCCAGGCTGTGGGAGCCAGGACGTGAGGTGTCTGGCACCCCGTGCCACGTCTGGCTGCTGCTTTCTCTGGGCCTGTGAAAAGGCTGACCTTGCTTTCCATGCACACACGTGTGCCTGAGTGTGCCTTCAGACCCCCCATGTACAAACAGCCTGGCCTGGCAGGCAGGCCGGCTGAGGCTTAGCGTGGCTGGACTTCTGGGAGGTGACTGGGGTCCCCTGGGGCCTGGACTGCCCCTTATGCCCGTGAGGCACTGGGCACTGCTCTAAGCTGTTTGGAAGTATTCATTCATTTAGATCGCCTGACAATACAGGTGTCTACTTTCATCCTCATCTCAGAGACGATGAGGGACACAGAAGAGTAAATGAACTGGTTCAAGGTCAAACAGTGAGTGAAGGGACCAGCCGGATTCAAAGCCCCGCAGGTCCAGAGCCAGGGCAATAAGCTTCCTGTTCATCTCTTATCTTCGCGCCTGACGGCTGGGCCCTGTGCTTCTCTGCCTTCAGCTGGGTAAACTCTTGTAGAATGAAAAGATGAACAGGTCAGTCAAGGTCCTCCAGAGACCCCGGGGAGGGCAGGCAGGGGCTGGGGAACTATATTTGTTGCTAGAGCTGAGTAACAAAAGACCACAGAGCAGTGATTAAGCAACATGGTTGTGTTGTGTCGATTCTGGAGACGGAAGTCAAGGCCAAGGCGCGCAGGGCTGCTTCCCTGAGGGCCTGAGGGAAGGCTCCGTCCTGGCTTCTGGCATTTGCTGGCGATCTCTAGTGCTCTGTGGGGTGTAGAGGGTCACCCTGGTGTTTTCCCTGCGCTCACATCTCTGTTCAGATCCCCCCATTCTGGAGAAGGCCAGTATCCTGGGTAAGCTCCACTCCAGTAGAGCCTCATCTTCCCTGCTCACATCTGCAAATCACCCTGTTTCCAAACGAGGGCACCCCAGGAGGTACTGGGAGTTTGGGGCTTCCACATGTGAATTGGGGGGGGACCATTCAACCCCCGACAGGAAATCATGTGTGACACCAGCATGTGTCTGAATTAGGCCTCTTCCCTCATTCACTGCCTTCCTCCAGCCACTAGGCCTTGGAACACCCAGGTGCCACTGTGTGGCACCCTCACTCCTCTGTACCGCCCCCACCCCGCCACTGACCTCTCCCCCTACCCAGGGTCCCCCAGAGCACACTGCACATCCCCCCGCCCCCCCTCCAGCAAGGAGACGGCCACTGATGTGGCACTGTGAGCCACATTGTTCTTCCTGACAGGGCCCTGCCCAGTGTCGGGACCTCGCACACCGTCAGTGCCCAGGGAGGTCTCTGTTAACTAAAGCAGCCGTGCCCAGAGAGATGGCGTGCATGGGCCAACGTTGCACAGTAAGTTTGTGGCAACGTGACTTTGGGTCCAGTAACTTTGGGGAGTGCATTTCCCCGCCCAGTCTCCCAATCGACTCTCAGGGGGTCTGTCCAGGGCCGGCAGTGACAGGGAAGCAACCTGAGGTCGGACCATGGCCTCGTCACACTCCAGAGAGGGCCTGCACATCACAGCGAGGCTTCTCACCGCCTGCGGCTTCCTTCTGTATCTGGCGTCCTGTGGAACCCAAGCTGTCACCTCCCCAAGGAACAGTGGCCTCCATTCATCTCCCCAGCTGCTTTGTGGGTGAGCAGGCTCTGAAGCCTTGGGGCCTTGACCTCCCTCCTCCAGCCCCTCTCCGCTGATGCTGAGCTGATGCTGAGCTGACGCATGATGTCCTGGTCCAGAACCTGGTGGCCATGGGCTGTTGCCTGGCAACTGTCTCTGAGAGACAAGTTCAAGGTACGGCCTCGTGTTTGAGCAACTTGGATGCTTGGAGAGGGAGAGTCAGGCAGGAGGGTCACCACCGCCCATCTCAGCCCACTTCGGCTTAGAGCCTAGACTTACCCTACAACCCCCATGGTCCCTAGAACCCATAGAACCCAGCCCCTAAACCCCTCCAAGCTCCTTCTGTCCCCACAACTCTCCTCCCTCCCCATTTATTCAGCCACCACTGTTGCACGAATACAAGGGAGGATAGAATCACAGAGCAGAGGGGCTCATGGAGTTGTGAGATGGAACTCCCCCATTCTTTTATTTATCCATTGATTCCAAATATTTCATGAAGGACCAGGTCCTGGGAACAGAGACTCGTCAGTCGCAGCCTGTTTAGCGGGATGTCCACATGCACGTGTGCATGAGAGTGTGCACAGGCCACTCAATGTGGTGGGGAAGCACTGGCCCTGGTGTCCAGAGACAGTTCCCTGGCCTCCCAGGCAACACCCAGCACCCACCAGTCCCTCTACTCCCACCCCATGCACACCTGCCCCAGCACAGCAGGCCGTTGGTGTTAAGGCCCCAGTACCCCTGTGGCTCCAGCTGAGACACCCTGAGTGCCTACTATGTGCACCCTGCAGCAGCTCAGACACACACCCAGACCACTGCTGCTTCTGAATGGCTGCCTCCCCTTGCCATTGGTCAGTCCCTGACCCACCCCCATACTGTTGATCAGGCCAGACTGTCCATCACAGTGCCCCACCTTGTCTCTGGTGGAAAGGACTGGTATGTGACCAATCACCGCACCCCATCACTTTGTCTTTGGTGACTGGCCCAAGGCGCCATCATGCGATTCACTTTGAAGCAATCAGCTTTCTTCCATGAGATTTGCTATTTGAACGCTGGAAGAGATGCATGTGCTGCTTTTGCATCAAGATCTGTAAGGATATAGGCTGAGACCTGCTGAGACATCATTCATGCTCCCCAGAGGACCTTGGGAGCCACACACAAAGGGGCCTGGGCACACCAAGGTGGCAGAGGGACAGAGGAAGCATCCTGATAGAGGTGGACTCAGTACACACACACACACACACACACACACACACACACACCACGAATCCAGACACAACGCCTGGCAGAGGCCCAGGCCATGGCCGTTGTCTCAGGTCCCCATCTTTATAGACAAAAGCTGGGACAGAAGCAGCACGGGATCCCTCTTGCACTTGCACCCAAGAGTCAGGAAGGCAGGTCAAGGGGGGACACGCTGGAATGCCAGCCCAGGCCTTCCTCCCGCTGACCCCCAGCTCCAACCAGGGCTGGCCGCAGCATCCACACCAGCTCTGGTTTCATGAACTTCCATCCCCGTGGGAGGCCTATACTCTCTCCAAACCCTCCTCCCTGGCCCCTGGCCTCTGACCTCCATTTCTCATGCCCTGCACTGTCTTCGCCCCCAAGAGCTAAAGACAGGCCACTCCAGGCCTTTCTCCAGGAAGGAGAAAGTGGGTGTCGGCCAAGCTTGGCAGGGGCCACTCCACTTTCTAATCTTATATACCCCTCCCCTAATTGCAGTATTGGTGACAATTTACCCAACATAACTCTTTTAAGCTCCCAAATGTCCAGAGGCAGACAAGTTGGGACAACCGCTTCCATTTGTGATGGGAACTGAGGCCCAGGAGGTCAAGGCTTGCCAGGCTGCTGAGGTGAGTTGAAGAGCTAGGTCTCCCAGCTTGTGGCTCATGTGCATTCCCTGAGGACCTCTGTGTTCTGCAGGGTGGGGGCCAGGAGCTAGCCTGAGGCCCCACCTCCCAGGCCCAGTCTCACTGTGGCTTTGAGGGGCCATCTCTGGGAGGGAATCAGGCCAGTCCAGATCCAGCCCTGGACAGCGACTCTCCCTAGGGTCCCACTCCAGCTCCCTATTGTCTGTTTTCCCTGGACCTTTGGATTTGTCTCTCCAGGAAAATCTAAAGGGTGGGGAAGCCTGTTCTCCAGCCCCCCTGGGGGCACCCCACTCCTTCCAACCTCTTCAGGGAACCAGGCCCTGCTTCCCAATAATGATCCCGGCCTTGCATCAAGGCCCAGACCTCCTTACCAGCCCCGACGAGCACCCAAAGGGGCTGGACCAGTGACTTTCAGGGCATCTGCCTTCCCAATCTGATTGCATCCTTTCCTTGGGGCTGATTGGGCCAGCACCAGCACCCAGTCAGGCCAAGACTCCACCTCTCTGTTGCCGGTCTGCATGGAAGCCCGGCTTTGGCCTCTACGAGGAGAGGAGCCAGGATGAGTCCTCCTGTGAGGAGGTACCTGGCACCCCCACAAAACCTCAAGACCCCCTTGTAGCCACAAATGCAAAGCAAACTGCTTTGGGAATTGGTCAGCTGTCCCTACCAGGGCCAAGCTAGGCTGTGGTAACTGGTTTATGCAACCTGGGGCCTCTCTTTAAGAGCTGGAATACAAAGTTACTGGTACAAAATTAGACCCAGGGCTTTGCAGGGGCCAAGCAGTGAGAGACCCTGAAGCTGGACTGCTGAAACCAACTTCCTGGAAAATCTGCCTCTCTTGCTCTTTTCCAGGGGCACAGGAGTCCTGGCACTGGCCATCTGGGCCAGGAGGCCTGGAGGTGATTGGGTTGAGGTGAGACCTGAGGCCCAGAAGAGCTGGCTCAAGGCCTTGCAGCAGTTGCGGGCGAGCGCACACGTGGCCTGAACAGACACACAGCCTCCTTCCCACCATGAAATGCCCTCTTCTAACTGGAGGCCGTCTAGCTTCCTGTGAGCCTGGAGCCTCAGTCCCTCTCCAGTGAACCTGACTCTGAGTCCAGGAAATCCAGGCCTTGGTTTATCCCCCTGAGGACCCAGATCTCAGCTGATCTTCCAAGGGAGGAAGACCAGTCTGCAGCTATCCCCATGGTGGACCCCCCTCAGGAAGCTCAGCCCAGGTGATGCCCTTCCAGACTTCTCCGGCAGAGCCCAACCAGGCTGGTCACTGCTATCCGAGTCACAGAGGAAAACGCGAGGTCCAGAGAGGGGAATTGACCCATCCAAGGTCAAACAGCCAGTCTCGGCAGCCATGGGATCCAAGCCCAGGCCTCTGCACCTCCCATCAGCAGGCCTCTGGAGCCTCAAACCTGGGTGCACCCCAGCCTCTGCCCTGCGCTGGGCCACCCTGGCCCTCCCCAGGCCCTACAGATAGCTGATGTGCAGCGCACCTGCCTTCTCTGCAGCTGCAGGCTCTTGGGGTAGAAACTGCTGCTCTTTGGCAGCCGCGCTGCTCCGTGGCTGCTCCTGCCTGCTGGTGCCCGGCTGTGTGATCTGGCTGACCCGGCCGTTCATCTCCCTGCCCGGGCCCTGCCTCCCAGCCCCCGCCCCGTCCTCCTCATCCTCATCCTCCTCCTCGGTCTTCTCCGGGGGCCCCGCTGCGGGCTCCTGGCTGCGCACGCGGCGGGAAGGCCTGAGCAGGACCCGGCGGAAGCCCTGCTTGAAGCGGTAGGACAGGAAGCCGTAGAGAATGGGGTTGGCACAGCTGTTGGCATAGGGCAGCGCCACCACCAGGAAGTAGAGGCCGAAGAAGGCAGGCTCCTCGGGCAGTGGGCACACCACGTTGACGATGTTGAGCACGTAGAAGGGCATCCAGCAGAGGACGAAGAGCGCCACCACGGCCACCACCATGCGCGTGACCCTGCGCTCCGAGTGCCGCCGCCGCTGGCTCGAGGGCGCCCACACCCGCCGCCCGGCCGAGCGCACCTTGACCAGGATGAGCAGGTAGCAGAGGCAGATGACCAGCAGCGGCCCGAAGAAACCCAGCGCGGCCGTGTAGATGATGAAGCCGGTTCTCCAGGCGGCCGCCGGCTCGGGCCACTGCATGTGGCAGGTGCTCATGCCCCGGGGCACGCCCGAGAAGACCACCACCGGCAACACCACCACCGCGGAGGCCACCCAGACAGCGGCGCTGACCGTGCGGGCCACGGGGGCCGTGCGCCAGCGGGCTGAGCGGGTGGGGTGCACCACAGCCAGGTAGCGGTCCACGCTCATGACCGTGAGGCAGAAGATGCTGGTGAACTGGTTGATGCCGTCCACGGCCATGACCAGGCGGCACATGAGGGAGCCGAAGGGCCAGTAGGAGAGGGCGTTCTGGGCCGCCAGGAAGGGCAGCCCCAGCATGAAGAGCTCGTCGGCCAGCGCCAGGTTGAGGATGTAGACGTTGGTGACCGAGGGGCTGGCCGAGTGCCGCAGGACCACGTAGATGACCAGGGAGTTGCCCAGCAGGCCCACCACGCACACCACCAGGTACACCAGCGGGATCAGAATGCCGCGGACGGCCAGTCCTGCCGCGCTTGGGGCTGCCGACCCATTTCCCAGGGTGGCATCCGGGGGCCAGGCCAGGGAGGCGTTGCCAGGTTCCACAGTCATGGGCACCGGTGTGGGGGAGCCCGGGATGTCCATGGCCCGGGAAGCACGCTCGACACTCAGCTAGCGGCCTGCAGGAAGAAGCACACGGTCCATCACGCCAAGCTTGGAGACTCATCCAGCCCCCCCACCCCGAGGGCAGGCAGCAGCTCATTTGCTGCACAGGCCAGCCAGCAAGCCCCTCCTTTCAGATGGGAAATCTTGGCTACAGGGTGGCATGGAAGGCTGGCTTGCCCCACTCCAAAGGGCAGGGACCAGCACCCTGGAGCCTGTGGTCACCCACACCCTGTCACCACCCGGGCACCCCAGGGGGAGCAGCAACATGTGGCTTCACCTGTGCACAGGGGACACCCCACAAAGGTCAGTGAAGGAGCGAGCAGATGCCTCAATCGGCCCTGACAACATGGCGCCTTTCCTCCACAGCAGCACTGTTCAAACGTTTTTGATACCAGCGCATCTAACGTTGCCACCTCAAGAAGTCACATTGCTTCATAGGACAGCATCTGCCCTTTGGGCTCAGGATCAGCCCAGGGCACAGGGTGTCAGGCGGCTCACCTGCTGCTGCAGGCTGAATGTGCTCCCCACCAAGTCACAATGCACCCCTAGCCTCCAGCACCGTGATGTGAGAGGTCATTAGGTCATGAGGGGGGGAACTTCGTGGTGGGATTAGTGCCCTTATACAGGTGACCCCAGAATGGTCTAGGCCCCTCACGCCTTGTGGCAACACAGATGGCGGTCTAAGACTCAGGAGACGGCTCTCCCCAGACACCGGATCTCCCGGCACCTTGATGTCGCACTTCTTAGGCTCCAGAACTGTGCAGGAGAAAGAAATTTCTGTTTACACACCACCTGGCCCGTGATACCCTATCACAGCAGCCTGAATGGACTAAGACTCACCAACAAGTCCTCCTCGCGTTTGAGAAACCCCTGCACATCACAGGTCCTTAGCCTGAAACCCTGGGCTCCTGGTAAAATTCGAAGGATCTGTGAGTCCCCAAAATGATGGTGAAACTCAGCATGTCTGTGGCCACTGGGCAGAGCCCAGAGCTCAGATCTGAGTGCCAATGCAGTTAAGAACCACAAGCACAGGGTGTCGCCTCCCCTGGGACCCAGAGACTTGGGGATCCCCTCAGCCCAGCCATCTCACTGTGCTCCTAAAAGGGACAAAGCTGGGAACCCTCCACCCCCATTTCACAGGCCAGGAGCCTGAGACCAGACCCAGGGAGGCTCTGCCTAAGTATCTAGCTCCCCCACCAGCCTGTCGTGAGCTCTCCCCACTGCTCCCTGGGCTCCTGAATGACCAGGATCATGGACCCAAACCCCAAGACATTTAGAGGCCTAAAAATAGAACTTTAGACACTTAAAACTGAGTTGTAGAGTCCTAGATTTTTTAGACTCAGTAGTCTTGAACCAGAGAATGTCAGGATTCCAGGCTGCCTGAATCAACCCTTCTTAGATTGCAACTGTGGAATCTAGACCCTGGATGCCTGGCTTCCTCCGCCCAGGTCCCCGGCCCCCATCTATCTGCCTGCCTGTCCTGGGGCCTCAGATTCTCTTTATAGCATCCCTGCTGGGCAGCCAAGCCAACGCAGGCCTACGGAGGGAGGGGCTCCCCAACAGGAGCATGCTTCATTTCCAGGCTGCAGGATCAGATGCCCCCAGGGAAGCCTTATGGGGAGCTCAGAAGCCAGCCCCCCTCCCATACGTACACGCACATACACACACACACACACACACTCACGCACATACACACATGGGACCCTGCAGGAAACACCAAGTTCCCAGCCTTTGCACCTGGCCCTGGAAGCCTCCCTGCCTCCACCCTGGCTGGGCCCATCTTCCCTGTCAAAGTTGCCCGGGCCAGGCGCCTAGAGCAGGGAAATTACAGCTTTCCGGGGGCGCCAACCAGACCTGCAATTTAGGTGCTGCCTTTTCTTCCAGGAGCTGGAATCTGTGCATGATCTAGTTCATCCTCGGGGAGGAGGGACTTTTCTTCCCTGTCTGGTTTATCTTTGGCACAAGCTTGCCTGAAAGCTGGGGGCGGACTCCTCAGAGGACGGCTCTGGATGGGAGGGGAGCCCAGCCAGGGTGAGTGGCTGTCCTGAGCCCACAGCAAATCAAGGTGGCTCCTCAGAGATACCCCACAGCCCCTCCATTTGTCTGTCTCCCACTTTCTGCCCCTCTTTGGTGCAGGGACCCTGAGCTATTTATTTCTTTGATGCCAGTCCCTAGCGCGGCACCAGAAACATTGGCAAAGTGGCTGGAGCCAGCGCTGCAGTGAGGAGATTGGGACAGACTTTGCTCCTGGGCTGAGGCCTCAACTCACAGGGTGAAATCCTGGCAAAGCCCAGGCAGTAGGGACTTTAAAGAGGAGAAAGTTGAGGCTCAGAAAGGTTAAGTAACTTACACAAGGCCACCCAGCTGGTGAATGAACGGGAGGCCGTGATGCAAAGCCAGTTCAGTCTGCTCCTGAACCCACAACACCTCCTGGGCCTGATGGCTTCTCAGAAGGCCTGGGCTGAGAGGAATCAAGGACTAGGGCAGGGCTGGGCCAGTCTCTAGTGAGCAGGCTGCATCTGCCTGCCCGCTGCTCCCCTTGGGCACCCCCAAGAGGCCCAACTGGTGCTAATCGGTGATCTTGGACCCACTCCCACTACAGGCCTGGGATTTGACCCCCAGAAATGCACCCCACAAACCCAGGTAGGAGGTTGGGCTTTGCCACAGAATAAGGCCATATTGCTGTGTGACCTCTGGCAAGTCAATATCCATCTCTGAACCTCATTTCCCTCCTATTAAAATGAAGACAGCATGCCCACCTTCCAGGCAGGGTTGTTGTAAAGATGAAGTGGGAGGGCTCAGAGCACGGTGTCCAGCACAGAGGGGCTCAGGGGAGCTGGCATGTAAGCCGAGGAGGCCAAGCCTCAAGCTGCATCTGGTTTCTTCCTGCTCTGGCATTTGTCTGTTCTGAGATTCCCAGATTCTAGAACTGTGACAGGAGATTCCAAGATTAATGCCCCCCTCTATCTCCTGCTGCCCGCCAGGAAGAGGTCACGGGAAGGCCTCCCTCCTCCCTGGCCCTTCACCCTCTCCAGTCTCTCGGGTACATCAGGACAGATGGTGGGCTCCAGCACCCCACCCTCCAGACCTCCCCAGACCCCGACCTCCTTACCTGGCAGTGGGGTGAAGGCTCCCCTTCTCGCCACCAGGTTGGTCATCATTCTGCTGCCCCCTCTCCCTGCCCAGTCCCCCAGAGTGCCCCTTAGCTGGGGACCCTACACAGTGGCCACTTAAGGGCTTGCAGAGCCGGGCTCGCTCCTAGGCCCTCGGCCGCATGTCTGCCCACAGAGCCTCCCATCTGCTCTCCGGCCCTGACTTCCCACCCGCGCCTGGTGCGTCACCCCCCATCTACAGGACACCTCCTGGGGGGCGGGGAGGGGCACAGATGGGGGTCTGAGTGGGGGTGGAGGGAGAAGCCTCCTAGGGAAAAGAAAAGGGAACAGGGGGCTGCAAAGAGCCAATGGAAACAGAGGGAGGGGGGTCGATCCGAGGTGGAGAGCAGGGAGAGGGAGAGACAGTGAGTGGGTGGAAAGCCAGAATGAGGGGGAGTGATGAGAACTGCGTGCTGAAGAGAGGAGAGAGCAGGAGAAGGAGAGAGAGATGCAGAAGAGAGGCAGGAGAGGGAGCGTGGAAGGAGAACGAGGGGGTGGCAGGGAGAGTGACAGAGAAGAATTGTGCCACAGATGGTGACAGGGGAGCCCTGAAGGGGGGAGCAGGAGTGGGGACTGCGGGAGGGGCGAGGGAGGGGCCGAGGGGCCGGAGAGCAGGTGCAAGGTGCTGGGTGTGGGAGGAGGGGTAGCAGGTTAAGGGAGGAGGCTGGAGGGGGGACAGACCCTGTTACCGGGGAGATTTCAGCCACCCACGCTGGCCTTGGCTCCTGCAGAGGGCTGAGGAGGAGAGGGTGGTGCTCGGGGAGCCGGGGGCCAATTGTCCGTGGCCAAACGTCCTCTTCCCGCACGTGTGCCTCTTTCCCCTGGGTCCCAGGCCAGGCTGGTGTGGGGTTCAGCAGAGCCGGAGCTGGGCCGGCCCTGGGCTGCAGGCTGACCTCACTGGCCAGAGGTGGGATGCCTGGCGCAGGGCCAGTCCATGGGGGGCATCGCCCTGAGGCTGGCTGAGCCCAGAGAGCTGGAGGCAGGGCAGGAGGAGCACAGGGGAAGAATAAATACCGCAGGCTTTGAGGACCAGGAGCCAAAATGCCAGAGAACAAACTTCCTTTCTTTGTAAATTGATTCAATTTGATGATAATCAAGGACAATTTTTTGAAATACCAATGTGCTATTAAGAAGAGTGAAATTCTTTTCGGGGGAGGGGACGGGACAGCAACATTTTGCTAATAGGAATTATTAGGGTTTTATTGCAAATGATCATCTGTAAAATCCAGTTTAAACTGGCAGGCTGTCCAAAAGCATCATCTTTGCCCACCTAGTTGAAGATGCTCTGCCTGGGGCCTGAGCACCAACCTAGCTGCCCTGGGGGGGGGGGGTGTTCTTGTGAAGGTCAAATGAAGGTCATGCCTGCCAGTTTGTCAGCCCCCATGCAGAGCTTTATTACAGCAATCTTGAATTCCTCCTTCTAGGGGCCTCCCCTGGTAGCGCAGCCGTTGAGCCTCTGCAGCGCCAGTTCGATCCCCGGCCACCGGTGAGGGTCCCACATGGAGCGCAGACCTCTCCTGCTGCGCCCACTGCTCCCCTCAGCAGTGTGTTTCGTCAGTCTGCCTGCTCTGTTCCCTGCTCTGTTCCCTGCTCTAGCTCTGGTGAATTCTCTCACCCTCCCGCACTTCTGCTGCTCTCCATCTTCCGAGTCTCCCTCCAGGCCAAGCCTCACTCACCTCTTCTTGGTCCCCCTATTTCTGCCCTCACCTCCTATTCAGCTGGGACAGTGAGTTTGTTAAAAACAAGTCTCTCAACTGCTTTCTCCTGGAGCCCGCCCAAGGTCGCTTGTTGCTGCGGAATAAAATCCACAGCCCCTACAGTGCCTGAGCACCCTGTCTCCACCTGCTTCTCTTCCTACTCGCCCCTCCCTCTCTTTCTAAAGCACCATGACCTTCATTCTGAACCTCAGCCCTTTGCACAGGCTGTTCCCACTGTTTATCCTTCAACAGTTTCAGGCATCACTTGCTCAGGGAAGCCTTCTCTGGAACCTTCCCATTCTCTGACACTTCCTCCTCTGGGCTCTCTTTTTTTATGTAATACAGTTATTTTTAGTTTATTTCAATGTTTATTAAAGTGCTATTTGTAGGCAAATATTAATAACCCATAGTAATAAAAAGATTTACAACAGAAAAAAAAAAAAACAACCCAGCCGTCTCCCACAGCATTGATCCAGCCCCCTCCCAGAGGCAATCCCATCCTCTTGGCTGTTTCTCTTTGTTCATCTCCATCTTGTTAAGTATCAGGTTTATTTTTCTATCTCTTGATTCCCCAATTTTACCCATTATCTACTGACTTCTAATAATGGTAGATAAGGTCTTAGATTTCTCATCCTTTTCCCCATCCTTGCATTTCTTAATTTTCTGTTAAATGAAAATTCAATGTTTCCATTATTAATGCAATGTCAATATAATTTGCTGCTCAGTTAGCCTCATTTTTTCATTTGCTTAGTTTTTTAAAAAAACATGTTAGTTTTCTTGAACTAAATATGCCCATACATTCCTATAGCCTCACAGAAATCTCATAGTGGAATTTTCAGACTCTACCCTGGGTGGTAATTTTTTTTCAAGACCCCTGAACTCCTCCCCTGTCCTTGCTGTCCTCTCTGCCCAAGCATAGCTGACACACTGTAATTCTCTCTTCACCATCCCACTAGGCATTCCCTTCCTTTTCTTCTCTGTTAGATTCTGTTTCTGGAATCCCATGCCTTCCTCTTTAATGGTTTACTCCCTTGTTTGGCTGGTGTACATCCTCCAGTAACTGCCGTGAAAATAAGCATGCTTGAAAATAGTAATTTGCCTTTCATCCTTGTTGGCAGCCTGGCTGGGTATAGAATTCTAAGTTGAGAGTCAAATAGTGGCAGGCATCAGTCCCTGTCACTAGCTTCCAGCTCTATTCTTATTCTCAATCACGTAAAGTAACTTTTTTCTTTATACTGGAGCTTCTAGGATTTTTGCTTTATCCCTAAATTTCTTAAATTTTATAACCAAGTGTTTTGGGCACTCAGTGTACTGTTTTAGCTTGAAGATGTTTTATTCTGTTCTGGGAAATAATTTTCTTCTGGAATGTCTATAATTTGGCTATTGGCTTCCTTTAATTAAATTAAATTAAATGAATCCTTTCATTTTCTTATTTTCTTTTATCTTATTCTAATTTTTGAGAGTTGTTGGGTTTATTTTTTACTCTTTTTATTTTCAAACCCTTTTTTAAAGTAAATATCATATTTTTAACTCCTACGAACTCATCTCTTTTTTTCTGGTTATTATTTTCTTATAGCATTCTGTTCCATTTTTGGATATAATGTGTTTTCTGATCTCTCTTGGGATAGCCATGATGATTTTTTTAAAGTTTTCTTTTGATCATTGCATTGTCTCTATTTCTTGCTAGTTTCTTTTTTCCTATTTATTTAATTGGGTCTCTTTCATATTTCAGCTTTCTCTTGTTATTCATTCTTATTTATACAATCATCTTTTGTTATTCATTCTTATTTCAGAATGAGGCATTAAAAGTCTGACTGGAAGCCCCAAATTGAAAGATAGGAATTGCCGATAATGAACCTCTCTGTATGGAAAACTGGATTTTTAAAACTTATTTATTTATTTATTTGTTTGTTTGTTTGTTTTTGTCAAAGTCACCCAGATGTCAGCCTCAGTGAGACTGCTCTCAGGAGTTGTTGGGTCCTGTCCACAGATTCCTGTCTGGGATGAGTGGGTGCTGGGTGCTAATGCTGGGGGGGAAAGGTGTTCTGAACAAACTCCACAAATAGGTTTTATTGACCCCACCCCCACCCCAGACCAAAGAGATCCAAGACACCAAGGACTATAAATCCCATAATGCCGTCACCACTGAAGGGAGGATGCTGGGAACTGAGGATGGAATCAAGCAGCCAGGCTTGATATATAACCAGACATGTGGGCCTTGGGGGTGCTTGGTTTTTCATTAGCTTTCAGCATACTATTGGGGTTCCAGCTCAGTGGAACTGGTAAGAGGCATTCACCAATTTATTCACCAATTTATTCAATTTATTTATTCAATTTATTCACCAATTTATTCACCAATTTACTCTTTCTCCCTGAGTTATTCATTTCTTCATTTCCCCTTTTTTTGTAAACAAACCTTTTATTACCCTTTGTGTGTTCCTGCAATTGAGTCTCGTTATAAGTCCCTTTCAAGCACTCAGGTGAGGACCCACAGTCAGGCCAACCCATTTCACATTGGGGTTGCCCTGTAACACTAGCATTCCTGAATGGGCCAAGGAACAGGGCTGGGGTACTCTGCAATAGTTAAACCTTCACTTGAGTCTGCCTGCATCATTCAGATATTGCTGTATAACAACCACCCACCAAATCTTTGTGGCACACAATAATCAGCATTTATTTGGCTATACATCTACAGGTTGGGGGGGGTTGATCTAGATTACGAGGGAATAAGCAAATCTGCAGGCCTGTGGGTCAGCTGGACAGCTTGGCCTCGTGTTTCTCTTATACTTTTGGAGTCATCGAGTTTGCCAGCACAGATTTTATTGGGCACAAGACAGCTTGCCCCAGAGTGCAAGCACTCAACTCTCTCCTTGTGCTGCGCATACTAAGATCCTATTGGTCACAAGCCAGTCACATGCTCAAGGACAGCATCAGTGGAATGGGGACTTATGCTCATCCTGGAGGTGGGGGTGGAGAGAGTGACTGCTAAGAACAATCCCCAATGATCAATGTGTGCTCACACCCCCATCCACTCTGTAGCTGGTGTCCTTGGGTACAGAGTTCTCTGCTTGGATTTTCCTGGCCTGCATTAGGGAGGGGTGGTTACTGCCTGAGAGTGCAGTGGGGAGGGCCTGGGGGGAGAGTTTCTAACTGTTCCTTAAACAGACTTCCAAGCAGCACCCCCCTCCACCCCCTACTCCCCGCTGTTTTCAGCCTCCTGCCTCACCATCTGTGGTAACCGGGGTCCATAGTTTGGAGCCTCCTTTGGGTTGTGCAAAGCCAATTGTTTTCCATCTCTTCAGTCTCTTAACCCCCACCCCACCAGGCCACAAAACAGCAGGCCCCTAGGTTTGCCTTTCCTGGACTCTGTTAAATCATTTACCACCTCTCCATCTGCTCTCCGCTGCGGTTTAGTGCCGCAGGTGCCTCCTGGTTTCTTTGAAGATGAGAGTTTGTGTTTCTGTTTCATCTTCTCCTTGTAGAGGCAGCTTTTCGGTGGGGGGAGGTGGCAGAAGCATTGCTGCTTGGCATCTTGACACCAGAGTGGCTTCATCTTGATATTGGGTAGATCGTGGCAGGCACAGCCCACCTCCTGGCAGGTGTTGATTTACATGTCCGTCTCCCCTGCTGGCCTCTGAGTCCCCGGGGAGTTGAGGGCTGGGTCTCGCCCCTCTCTGTACCTCTTTCTGTCCACACAGCAGGCACGGAGCACACAGGAACTAAATTGAACTAGATTTTACAAACGAGTGCTCCTCGTTTCATCTTCCCTGAGGTCTTCTGAGGCCTTCTAGAACCATCTTAAATCTCTTTCTCCCTCCCCAGAGTCCACCCTACCCTGCCTCCCTGTCCTATGAGGCCTAGATGGAGTCCAGTGTCCCCAGCAGTGCATATTTCCTGGGAGGGGAGGATGAGGGGTAAGAAGGAGAGAGAAGCCAAGGAAAGCAGAGAGAGCAGACACTCCGACTCAGGAAAGCGTGGTCCCAGGACGCCATCTGTGATCTGCGACGATGCTGGGACTCGGTGGGACTCATTTGGGTGGCTCTTCCTCTCCACGTGAGGTTAGCTGGGGTCAGAGTCATCTGGGAACTCAACTGAGCCGCCACCCCCAAGATAGCTCACGTGGATGAGGGTGCCCTGGCAGGACTGGCTGGCAGGCTGGGCTCAGCTGGGTCATTCTCCATGAAAGTGCATCTGCTTATTTGTTTCTATCAACACCCATTTACCCAGTATCTGCAAGGTGCCAGGGACTTGCTTGGGTCTTGTTTGATAAGACTTGCTTGGTAAGAGATCCAAGCTGAGTGCGTTCTCCCCTGGCTCTCTGCTGGCTCAACAGCCTCCTCACTGGACTGTGAGCCTCTAAGAGCAGGCCCATGCCTGACTCCCCCTCAGTCCCTATGTTTGGCACCATAGCAGTAATGATTTGCTGAATGATTCAGTGGTGAACTGAATGAGCCCGTGATTGTGTAAGAGTTTTGAAAGCATCCATGACATCTGGGTGGTACAATTACATTTGTGAGGCAGAGCTGGCTTACAGGCAGAGAGAGCGGAGGCATGCAGGCCAGCGAGGAGAGGCCGCTGTCCTCGGGAGAGACGCAGGCCTAGAACAGGAAGTGGCAACAGGGCAGATATGGCGATGGGTTAAGTAGATGTCTGGAGGTCGAATTGCCCAAGCTTGGTGCAGTGAATGAGCGAGTGAGGGAAGGGGGGGAGCCGGGGGAGTCTCCAGACCTCTGCTTTGGAAGAAGGAACAGCAGCAGCCCGCCTTGGAGACAGAGACCCCAAATGAAACCGTCTGGGAAGTGCTCCCTTGCCCACCAGGTGATGATTTCATTGCAAGGGGCTGGGTCTGATGCACCCGAGCAGCGAGACCCAGCGCAGACCCAGGACTCGACGGTGCTTAGAAGGGCTTCTGTGAGTGTCACACGCTGTCGGTGCCTGCCTATGACCATCCGTTCTTCCTGTTTCAAAGCAGGTTCCTCATCCACTTCTCTCAAGGTTTCTCTTTCCTCTCAGAGAGGTCTCTGGTCCTCAGTCAATTTGCAGAACAGAAATGAATGACTCACCCCATGCCCAGAAACTGACAGGCACAGTGTTTCAGTGAAAAGAGCCTGGTCAAGGAGTCCTAAGACCTCAGTTCCAGATGCTCTCAGCTTGTAGTACCAGAAAGCCTGACCAACAGTGGGGGAAATGGTTTCATTTTCGATTTATACCCACTGCAAGTCAGTCATCGGGACTGGTTTGGTCCATGACCAAAGTAGTCATCCTCCATCCTCATGGGATCCAGGGATCTTCATGGACATGGCTTCGGGTTCATAAGATGACTGCTGCAGCTCCAGACATCTCATCAGCATCCATCAAGGAAGCAGACAGGGCAAAGGGTGGCATCTGCTGGGTCTATCATTTTTTGTGAAAGAAAACAAAAGCTTTCACAGAAGCCGCCTTCCAACTGACTTTCACTTATTCCTGGTCCCCAGAACTGTCTGACTTTGGAACCACAGCTGCAAAGCAGGCTGGGAAAACAAGTATTTTTTTTTTTGGTCTGGAGCTAGATACATTGTTTCTGTGCACAAAAATTAGGATTCTTTTAGAAAAGAGGATGGGCGTGGTGGTAAAGGGTGGCAAGTCGAGTGTCTGCCTTAGCGAGCTGATCTCTAACTCCTGGGCTCTGTTTCTGTTTTGCAAAACCAGGCTTGCTGGCCTTACTTACCTTCGGAGGCCCCAAGGAAGACTGAAATCCTATGTGCTCAGTGAGGCCACAAGTGGAGAGAGAATATATTTACTGACATTTATTGGTGTAAAGCAAGGCCTGTGTCCACTGGGGCAGGCCCAGGGAAGGGGCACATGGCAGAGGCCTCAGCCCACACCTGGTGTGCGGGGAAGCTTGGGGAGGAGAGGAAATTGTTCGAGGAAGAGAACTAGATTAGCTTGTGCAAAGAGCTCGGGTTAAAGAAGTGTCAACATGACTTTGGGGAACTGAGAGCTCGGTCTGACAGTGGAGATGTGAGTTCAGCAGGAAAGGAGTGAAGTGAGACCAGGTCTCTGGGAGGATCCTGGAGGGGATGAAGTTTATCCTGAGACCCCAGAAGAACAGGGAGGAGAGGGAGGCTCCCCTGGGACTCTGGCTGCCTGGAGGGGGAGCCTGAGGGCTTTTCGAGTTTGAGCGTTAGAGGTGGGTCTCAGCCGTCCCCCCACCCACGTGGGTGTTTGTGTCATGACTGTGTGGGTTTTAAGGGGGTTTTGTTGTTGCTGTTTTTTCTGGTTTTTGTCTCAGAGAGAAGTAACTTTCAAACATAACAAGCTGCTCTGAGCTGAGACTAAGGAAGGCCACAGGGCCTCGCCCCTACGCTCAGGCCCTTTCTGAGGGAGCCCCACTGATTCCCATACCCCAAACAGCCGCCGGCACAGCATCGTCTTGGTAGATGAGTGGATGAAGGTAAATGAGTAGATGAGGTAAATGAATGGATAAAGTTAAGACAGAGAAGAGTGATCATCCGCAGGAGTATAAGGCCTGGCATTTATAAATTAGCAGGTACTAATGTGGAACAGACCCCATGCCAAGCCCTGACAAATTTCTTAAGTCTTCACAGAGCCCCATCTCTCTTTTAAAGAAATGTACTTTGCTTCATGCCTGCTGGGATCAGCATTGCTTCCCACACTGCTGAACACTTTCCTGTGACCTCCAATAGTGGAGTTGGGGGTTTCTGGTTGTTTGACACCCATGGTCCCAAATCCAAGAATTCCAGTCCCCGCTGGGGAGCTAACCCCTACACCCTGTGTGTGTGGTTTTGGCAAGGATGCCTCCACTCCAAGCTCTGCTGGAGCATGTCGTCCAGGCCTGACCCATCAGACCACATCAACTCCTGAACAAAAATGATTGGTTGAAAGGGAAGCCCAGGACCTTAGCTGGTCCAATGAGAGTGAGCTTTAATTGAAACTTTGCCTGGGGCAGACACTTGCTCTTTTTTGCTGAAATTGAACCTGGAAGGATAAAACCCTGAGAGTCAACTGCCTGAGAATGAACCAGACAGCTAATTGCAAAGCAAAGCTATACAGGAAAGTGAACACCCTGATCAAGCTGCACCTGAAGTCGTATCTTTCCAAATTTGAAACAGTACATTTATTTTCTGCTTAAGCAGGTTGATTGGGTTTTCTGTTTGCCATAGCAAAAAGTCCTGACCAGCAGGGCCTGGAAATTTTAAGACTCACCGGCAAATGCAGCTTGTGACATGAAGGATAAAGCAGAAAGACATAAAGGATAAAGGAGTCAGCTAGACCCAGGCTTTTGATTGGCTGGGAAATGCCCAGGGAGAGTTAAAGAATTTTAGTTCCTTTGTTATCTCAGAAAGGAAAACAAAGACCAGAGACCCAATATGTATGCATTCTCATTTACTCATTTTTTATTTCAGTAGAAGGGCTTCACACTGTGCTACTGATCTGATACTCTCTCGTAACTCTCATGAGGCACTGACAGACCTGAGTCTGAAGGAATATATATCTTCGTTCACCAGTGACATGTGAACCAAAGTTCCGGGGGAATCAGGAATTTAGTAGAGTTGGAAGATGCTGGAAGATGCAGCTGGAAAACGCAGCTTGATAATGCTGCCTTCTGCACCAGCTGGCACGGACCACAATAACAGAGGGGTGGCTCACTGGCTCCTGGACCTCCACTCTGACCCCCAGGGAAAGCAGGGGCATGAAGAAATCGAGGCACTGCGCCTACAGATCCACAGCCTTTGGCCCCTGGGGGCTCCAGCACAGCGAAGATGAGCAGCCAAGCTCTGCAGTCATCTGCTAGGAAATACCACGGGGAAGGGCAGCATGACAGCGGGGTACCAGCGGGTATTGGGTGGAAGGCCTGGAGCAGAACCATCTGGCTGTGAGGACTGGGTGCCACCTGGATGGAGGAATTTGGGGATAGAATTTGGGGGTGCTCAGACTCATTCCCACCGCCCAGTTTTTGTGCAGGTGCCATCCTGCACACCACGCTGGTACTCTCTCTTCTTGCCCATCGCTTCAGGAAGCCTGTAGGCTGCCTCCACCCACTCCAGGGGTCCCAGCTCAGTCTGCTCTGCCTCCACCATATATGTGGGAGTCAGGTCTCCCTGGCTTGACTGGACTCCCTGGGGGGCCTACCCGTCCCTTGTACTCCCCATACCCACCTCCTACAGGACGGCAGAGTGGGAGCTCAGTGACACCCACATCTTGGCTCGTCTTACCTGGTTTTTGTTGATACCTTGGACCTTCCTTTTGGGAACCAAACTCGGCTGAGCTGGACTGGTTCGGCCAATGAGGACACTGAGGCCATTTTAAAACTCCCTCTCTGTCTTGGCCTAACTGCCACTCCCACTAAAACTGAGGGTGATGAGCAGCTGCTGGACACCCTCCAGCTAGAAGCTACTGTGTGTGTGTGGGGATCATGAAGCATGGGAGAGTCCCTCACCCTAGAGGATGCTGCAACCTTTCTTCGGCTGCCGCGTGGGCTGGGGGCACAGGACAGCCCGGATCGCCTCGTCGAAGACAGTTTTCAGGCCTCGCTGGGTGAGGGCAGAACACTCCAGGTATTTCACAGAGTCTGAAGGGAGGCGGCAAGGGAGCAGAGGTCAGATCTTGTGGGGGTTCAACGCACACCCCTCCCAAGTCCTACGACTGCCAGGCTCAGGGTCCAGTCCACACAGGTCACCTGGGCCATGTCACTCAGCACAGGGTCATTCCCCCTCTGTGCCTCAGTTTCCCTATGTTTAAAATGAGGAGTTTGACTTCAGGAGACGTTAAGAACCTCTGTGACTCTCCAGGACGTATAAACCCTTAATTTTCAGAAGGCAGGTAGGAATTTTGATGGTTCCTGGCAAGAAGGGAACTCAAGATAAAGCGACCAAATCTCTCAGCACCTCACTTTCTTCAAGAAAATGGTCACCTACCTGCCTCCCTGCTTCCCCCAGGAGGTCTGAGGCCCCCTGGACCCTTACCAGGCCCTTCCAAATGCCATCTAGGATCTAGCACCGCCCCACTGTCCAGATGAGGAAGCCAACAGTCACAGAGAGGTCATTAGCCCAAAGTCACAGGCTGGACACTTCCTTCTGGCCCAGGGCGGGGCACCCAGGGACCTCCTTCCACGCGACGGCTCACAGCTGGAGCCCGGGGCACACGCGGCCAGGAAGGCAGGGACCCCAATGGGAAGCAGTGTCCCCTGACCTTCCGGAAGGAACCTGTGTGAGTTCCCATGTCTACCGCACTCCAAACAGTTTCCCTGAAGCGAGGAACCACAAAACGGCTTCTCTAAGAGGCCCGAGGGCTGATTTCAGAAACAAGAGGAAGGAGAGGGGGCAGGGGACGCGGGTTCCTCCCTGGAGCCGCTCTTCTGGGGGACGGAAGGGGACTGGGCAGATGGCACCCCCTCCCTGCGGGCATGGAGCTGGTGCTTCCGACCCCCTGTGAGGAAACCCTGCCCACTTCCCAGAGGCGGAGACAGGCCCAGACAGGGGCAGCCGCGGCCCCGGACACCCAGCGGAGGGCGGGGGCGCCTGGGAGGGGGACGAGCCCGCTGCTGCCTGGGGCAGGAAAGAGCAGCAGGAACCGGGAATCTGAGCAGGGACCAAAGTCACGGGCGGCCCCTGCCCTCCGCGGGTACAGAGCCCCCGGAGTTGGGGGCAGGGTCTCGGCGCCCGAGCCCTCTGTGCCTAGAAGGCGTCACTGGGCATTTGACCACTGTCTCCCTGCCAGAGCCGTGCCCAGTGCCACCTCTTCCCTCTCACTGGCTCCTCCGTCCTGGCATCCACTGCCCCCTTGCTGTTCTCGGCTCATGATGACCGGAGTCGCTGGGGGCCTGGGCTGGGGGCCTGGGCTGGGGGGCCTGGCCTGGTTTTGGCTCAGCCTCTGACCACCGAGGGCTTTGGCCAGCCCCCTCTGCGCCTCCACCTCCCACCCGCCTGGGACGCGCTCCCGTGTACCTAGAGGTAACTAGAGCGTGTGGTGGGAGGTGACTGGTCAGGTGGATGTGGGCGGGGGGAGGGGGTGCAGAGGATCCTGACGGTGACTGGGGGAGCCAGGCAGCCCAGGTTTCTGCTGGGTGTCCTGGAGCCAGCGACTTCTCCCTGAGCCTCAGTTTCCTCCTCTGTAAAGTGGGGTGGTAAGAGTTCCTCGTTCAGAGCTGCGGTGAGAAGGAAGAGGGCTATGCACAGCCGGGCTCAGGGAGTGCTTGGACCGTGTCAGCTGTGATCACCAGCGGAGGCCACAGCGGCCCCACGACTCGACCCCGCCTGCTGGGGAGGACATGGCGGCAGGGGCAGCCTCTGCACTCATCAGTCCTGCAGGACCCCAGGCCTCCCCCTGACAGGGGTGGGCCTCAGGCAAGGTCAAAGTCACTGCCCCCACCATACCACCTGGAATCAGCTCCAGGAGGGACTGACTGGGGGTCAAGGCAGAACCCTAGAGTGAGCGCCTGCAGAAGAGAATCTTTGGGGTTGTGCAGGCCCGCTGTGTGGAGAAGACTGAAGCTCAGAGCTGGGGAGCTGCAAGCCCCAGGACACAGTCAGGTCCAGGGCCAGGGCCGGCTCCAGCTTCCCCCTCCTCCTCCTTGTCCCAAAGCGTGTGCTTTCCAAGGGGAGGGTCGGAGCCGCTGGGGAGCTGCGGTCCAGGCGGAGCCCATGGGCAAAGCAGGCCAGAAGACCAGATGTGTGATCCCAGCACTGGTGAGGAAAGACCAGCACCCTGGGAGCCAGGGCCCAGGACAGGACTGGGGACCAGGGTGTGGGCACAGCCCGAGGCCCCTGGGAAGATGGCCCTGTCGCAGGAAGGGGGGAGGCGGCGGCTGTGGTTTCTCTTCCTGTGAAGAGATGTGCGTCCCCAGGGCCCTCCTAGTTCCGGCGGAAGGAAGAGGGGGTGAGGCAGGGCCTAGGTGGGGAGGCCCAACCTATCGGGGCGAGCACGTCCCACAGGACCCTGCAATGGGGCAGAGGACCAGGGCCCCGGATCCTGGCGGTCAAGCTTGGCTGGCGGTCCCGGGCTTTTGGGCAAGTGTCCCTGTCTCTGGGCTGCAGGCAAGCCAGGCTGGACCAGGACCGCAGGCCTGAATGCCACAGGAGAGGCCAGACCCGTCAGCCACCACCTGCCTGGCTAAGGCACCCTGGGCCACCATGAGGAGGCCCCCGCGCTGACGATTGCTGCCCGGGTTCAAATCCCAGGTGTGACCCTGAGAAATCACAGCGGTGCAGGCCAGTGCTCAGGTGGAGAGAGGAGTCAGGCTGCGAAGCCAGGAGCTGGGGAAAGGGAGGGGGGAGGGAGGCAGAAAGGAAGGCACCACCCTTCAAACCCAGGACAGAAGCACCTCCTCCAGGAAGCCTTCTCAGAAAACCCAAGCTTGACTGTGCACAGCCACAGCACACCCCCCTCCACCCTTGCTCTGTCTGCCCAAAACACACGCACGTCAGTATCTGCTGCGGATACCACCAATGCTAACAGCAGAGCCTCCGGGAGTGTGAGTTGCTCTAGGACCTTCCTGGGCATTCATGCATTCAATTCTCCCAACTGCCTGGAACTGTCATTATTGCCTGCAACTGCTATTGCTTTTTCATTTACAAATGAAAGAACGTAGGCATAGAGAGGCTAAGTGATTTGTCCAGGGTCACACAGCTAGCACATGGGCTAGCCAGGGTTGGGACTGCACAGCCTGGTCCCAGAGCATGTCTGCAGTCACCCTGAGGCTGCGTGGGGACCCCTCCTGCCTCCCCCCACTGCCTTCCCCTCTGCTCTGGGCCCAAGCCCCATACCAATCTCCTTGGCCAGTGCCAGCCCCTGTGGGTAGCTCACAGGCATCAGCTTCTTCTCCTTCAGCTTCTCAATGGTGTCCTTGTCATCCCGCAGGTCCAGCTTGGTGCCCACCAAGATGATGGGCGTGCTGGGGCAGTGGTGCCGCACCTCAGGGAACCACTGAGCAGGTGGGCGGGGTGGGAGGTTGTGCAGGACAGGGGGAATGGCATGAGGTTGTGCAGGACAAGAAGGGGGAGGGCGCAAGGTTGTGCAGGGAGTGGAGGGAGCATGAGAGTGGGGGGAGACAAGGGGACACCAAATTGTGGGAAGATGAGCAGTGGGGTGAGGACAAGAGGCAGACGTGAAGTTGCGCGGGGAGGAGAGAAGACAAGGTGAGCGTGCGCTGAGAGGCTGGCTGACTATCCCAGCGCCCTCTGAGACCGCCCTCAGTCTCACTCTGAGTCACTCCCCAGCCCTGGTTGGCATGGAGGACCCTCTCTGTCCACACCCTCCGCACCCCAGGAACAGGCCAAAAGTTACCAGTGCCTCCCCTCCGCCCACCTCCCCTCATCTCTCAGGATGACCTGCCCCCATGAGACCCCCACTCTGTCCAGCTCACCTTGGCACGGACATTCTCATAGGAGGCTGGGCTAACGAGGGAGAAGCAGATGAGGAAGACATCCTGGGGGCAGAGCAGGCGAGGGGGGCGGTGAGGGCAAGTGCAGAGGTACCCCACTTGCCGCCCCCCCGGCATCCTGGGCAGCGGAGGAGCAGCCGGGGAACATGGGGCCTTAGGACCCAGGCAGGCAGGGGCCCTGCCAGCTCCACTGCCGGCTGCTGCTGGTCTTTCTAGCACATCCTAAAGGCCAGGCCTGTTCTGGGCAGTTAGTCCTCACGGGGCTCTGCACTCAGTGAGTGGCTGCGCCTCCCCACAGGTGGGAAAGTGGGGGTCAAAGGCTTTGCCATCTGGACTCTAGAGTCACTTCCCCTCACCAGACATCACTACCCCCTCAGGTGCCCATTCCTTTTGTGCCACCCGGCATGGAGAGCCTAGGCCAGCCTGGAGGCACGGCAGCCTGGAGCCACCTGCCACCCTGCCCCATCCCTCCTCTCCCAGCACGGAGCTCACTGTCCCGGGCTTCCTCCTGGGCCCCATCCAGGTCTGCACCACCCACTGGCCGCGGGGGTGCCAGAGCCCAGGAGGCAGAGAGGTCGGAAAGATGGGCTCAGTGATAGGAGTAGGGCCAGGAGGGCTTAAAGGGAGGGTGCGCTTTCCCCAGGCGGACTCGGGGGAGGCCCCCCGGCAGCGGACGGGCCAGCCAGGCACACACCGTCTGTGGGTAGGAGAGCGGCCGCAGGCGGTCGTAGTCCTCCTGGCCCGCGGTGTCCCACAGGCCCAAGTTCACCGGCTTGCTGTCCACCATCACGTTGGCAGAATAGTTGTCAAACCTGTGGGGAGCAGGCGAGACAGAGGGTCAGCCTCAGCCCTGGAGCTCCGTCCGTATCCTCCCGCAGGGCCACGCCCAGAGGGGCTTCAATGGGACCCAAGTCACACAGCACCAGGCAGCTGAGTTTCCTTCTTTTTTTTTTCATTACTCATGCATTACATTAAAAATCGTTAAATACATAAGAGCATCAAGCGGAAAATACTCTTTGATCATTTCTCTGTCCTCCCCTGTCCTGTGAAGGGGTGACTTTCATCCAGTCCGAGAGCCCATCACCATAAGCAAGCGTTACCCGCCTCCTGTGCTGGACACTGAGGCTGGTCTCCCAGGTGGGGTCCCGCAGGAGCAAACCCTCACCGAGGCGGTGCCTCGGTGACCCCTGGCAGCCTCGGGAGGGGGTTGGAAGGTGGCAAGGGGCAGCAGTGGGTCTTGTCCTGCCGTGTGCCTCTAGTGCTGTGGACAGCTGGGCTCAAGGGGCACCTGGGAGTCAGCATGAGCCCTGCAGAGAAGGGGTAGGAAGCAGGCATTTACCCACCATCTCCGTCTGCAGAGGCGGAGGGTGTCCTGGGGCGTCAGGTAACTCCTTGACCTTTCAGCCCCTCCCGGAGTGGCCACTGAGAGCCATCAGTCACAGGCACTTTCAGGAAATGCCCCTGGCACACACCAAAAAGACATGCCAACGGGACAGGCTGGGCACGCGCGCACGGTTAAAAGCCATGTGCTGTACCAGAGGCCTCCAGGCAATTTGAGCCTCCAGCTTCCTTGTTAATCCAACCCAACAGTATTCCTCATTACACACTGCCAGGAGTGGAAGCCCTGGTTGCTGATGCTGTGCAAGAGAAAGCGGGGATCAGAGAGGTAGAGCGACCTGCCCACGCTACACAGCCCGTGAGTGACCGAACTAGTGAGAAACAGGTTCAGTCTGGCTCCACAGCCCGTGCTCACTGCCCTGTGGCACAGCTGTGCTGCCAGAGGCCCAGCGCTGCCCCAAGGCCCAGGACCACCCCTCCGTCTCTGCTCATTGAGGCCACCTGCATGGACACTGGACCTCAACCCTGGGCTTGGTCCGCTGAGACCTCAGGCTCTTTCAGACACCAGCTTCATGTGCAGGGCTGGCACTGCCCACCTCCCCACGCCTGCCCATGCACGCACCCTGCAGGGGAAGCCCTTCTCCTCCTCTCCTTGTCCAAATATCTTGACCTGTCCTGGCCACACGGCCCTGCATGCCGTCCAGGCCTGGATCCTGCCTCTGCATCTCTCTGCAAACCCTTCCACCCCTTTCACCTCTGTCTCCTGTTCATGCTTCAAAACCCTTCCCAGGGAGTTCCTCTTCTGAGGGTGAACCTTCTGGTCACCCCCTTCCCTGTCCCCACCTGGAAAGAGCTGACTGCTTCCTCCCTCCAGCAACTGTTTTGCCTTGACCTCGAGCAGGCACCCAGCGCCATGTGGGGGTCACCATCCAGTCATGGGCTGTGGGCTCCCTGCAGCACAGCCAATGCCTGCTTGTCTCTGCATCTCAGGCCCAGCTCCCAGTGCATGCGGGTGGACCGAATGAGCAGACTGAACAGAAGCCCTCAGGTGCCGCCTCCTCTGAGAAGCCCTGTCAGAATGCTGCTCAGCAACGGACTGCATTGGCCCTAATGCTTCAGAGTAATGCCCAGGACCTAAGAAAGAGCCCCTCACACAGGCCTGGAGGTGGGCAAGTGGACACTGTCAACACACCGGACTTCTTGGGCCTCAGAGCGTGTTCCTAGACACCCCCTGGTCACCTCCCAGTTCCCCTGAGGCTCTATTCTCTCCTGCCTGTGAAGCTCCTGCAAACACTCTTCCTGACTTCCCACTCTCCTTCCCCTGTGCTGGCCTGACCCTAATTCATCCCCCTTCCACCACCACAGCCCCATCTCAAAGTCACCTCCTCCAGGAAGCCTCCCCAGTCAGCAGCCTTTGCTGACTAGCTCCCCGAAGAGCAGGAACCAGGTCTGGCTTATCCCTCACTGCCCTTGAGGCCAGCACAGTGCCTGGAACACTGCAGTGTTCTGTGTATCTGCTCCAGGCAGCACCCAGGGAGAGGCCGCTGGGCACACTGGGAAAGGGGCCACTCATGTTCTTTGCAGTTAGCCAGAAACACCTCTTTGGGACAAGCTCTCTCCTCTCGTGTCTAGTTTGAAATTCTGGTGCCAAAAGATTCCCAAGTTTCCTTGAGCCTGAGGCTTCTGTTCCCTAGATCACTCCAGGGTCTGAGGGACTCGGCCACAGGGAAAAGCTGGTTCCTGGAACCCCAGCACCTACTCTGGGGTTGAACAGGGAGTTAGGGCCTTCATCCCCTTAGGTCATGACATCCCACGTGACCCAAGGCAAAAGGATCTCATGTAATTCCCATTAGACATGTGAGGAAACTGAGGCCCAAGGAGGTCAGGCAACTTTTGCAAGGCCAGCCAGCTCATGACCACAGCAGCAAGGGGCCTAGCCCTCTCTCTCTGTGACTCCCATGGACAGCAAGAGGGCTGCTTTAGCCTGGGACAGCCCCTGGGACCGTCAACCAGAGTGGGAAGGAAGCCAAAATTCCTTGTAAACCTGGACCCCACTGTGAGACCCTGGGTGAGTAACTTAGCTTCTCTGATCCCTACTTTCTTGGCTGTGAAAAAGGCCCTATCTCTTGGGGCCATTAAGAGGATCCCAAGTGCAAGAAGATGCCCAAACCCCCTGTGGGGACAGGCTGAGAAGCTAGGCAATCTCATGTTCCATGCTCCCAAACCCCCACACCAGCCCCTCCTCCAGGCCCAGGCCGGAGTCCGGGGGCTGCAGGGAAGCACGAGTGATCTGCGATTCCCTGGGGTTGCCACACTTCAGAGACCCACAGGCAGCCAGGACCAGAGGATCAAGGACCAAATGACCACCACTGCGGCCATTTTCCAGATAAGGAGACTGAGCCTCATAGGCAGGAGGGCACTTGCTCGAGCCCCAGGGCCAGGACTGAGCCTGCTGCTCAGACAGGAAAGCCAGTGTGGCGAGCAGCACTGCTGATTCCGGCCAGAGGCTCAGAGGAGTTTGAGCCAGAGCATGGGGGGTGGGTTTGCGGGTGGGTGGGTGGAAGGGGCTGATCCTAAATGAGGGTGGAGAGGCGCCAGGCAGGGAGCCCACATTTGCTGAGCACCTTTGGGTGCTAAGCGCTGTCTGGGGGCCTTCACCCTTCCATCGCTTCAGAGGGCCGGGGAAGTGTACTTTATCATCGCCCCGTTTGCACAAGGAAACCAGACTCAGAGGACTGAGAAGGCCTGGCCGGGTCACATGACCGCACCTGGGGCGGCTGTTTACATGCAGTCTTTGTGGCCTCTTTCTGCACTCTCTGGGGCCGCAGGCCTGGAATGGCGTGGAGGATGGAAACGGGGGCAGGAGAAAGGGGCTCAGCACCTGACCACCACCCAAGCCCAGACCTCAGGAAGGAAGCACCTGGACACCCAGCAAGTTTGAGGTGGATTGACACCCCCAGGTGGCAGGGCGGGGGCGGGGAGCTATTGTCAGGATACCAGTCAGTGCCTGGGGCTCACCATGCAGGGCGTGATAAGATCAGATTTGCATTTAGAAAAGGCCCCCTTGGTGGGTGGAGGAGCCCTGGAGCAGGGTCCGAGGGGGTGGGGGGGACCAGTGGGAGCACCCAGAGAAGGGGAGGGCAGCTGGAGGAGATGGGGGAGCAGGGAGCTGTCCCAGAGGGGTGTGAGCACAGAGCAGGTGCATGAGCGAGGAGGCGGGGGCCAGCCAGGCACAGCGAGGGAACAGCGTGACCTTGGTGGCTGGGACCAGCCAAGGTGGGCGTCGCCCTGTCGTGAGGATTTCAGGCTTGATCTGTCAGTTCGCAAATGAGGATGAAAGTCACACACTGGCCCGTCCAACCTAAAGTAACCGAGTGTTCTTCCTCCCCTCAGAGACGACCTGGGCTGAGAACCCCCATGGCCGGTTCTGGCCCCTGCTCCCGGCAGATGCTGGCACGTGTGGCAGCAGGCACTCCCACCCCCGCAAACCCTGCCAGCCAGGTCTCGAGACCACCAACCACTGCTGCCTGTGCCAGGGACCTTAGGCACCTGTCTCTGTCTCCCACAGCTGCTCTCTCCCTGGCTCCCCGCCACCCAGTGGCCAAGGGCTTAGTGTGACACCCCCCCACCCCCACCCTGCTGCCAGAGGATGCTTATAGCAGGAGCCCCTCTGGGGGGGCTTGAGCAACTTCACTGGACAACAAAGGAGGGCGGGGCCAGGCACAGGTTCGAGTGCATGTCCCGCTGAGCCTGGGGTCCTGTGCACCTGCAGGTGGCACAGCCAGGAAGCCAGGCTAGGCCCAGGTAGACCTCGTCTGGGCACCTGTCTGTCCTTCAGCAAAGCTATCTGGACAACTGTGTTCACTAGGGCCTGGCGCCCCAGTTGCTGAGAGCAGCTGGAACTAGCCGGGCCCCCAGCAGTTCTGTCACCTTGTACCTTCCTGCACAGGGGAGGTGCCCCCAACGAGCCTGGCCTCCCAGCCCAGGCCCTGCCTCCTGTGGAAGGGAAACTGAGGTTCAGGGAGGGGAAGTGCTTGCCCTAAGGTCTTTCAGCAAGCGGCCCTCACCCAGCTGGGACGGGCAGAGGCAGGAAGACAGTGCCAGCATTTCCTGGTGACAGTGGCCCACCGCAGGAGCTGCCTGACGTGGGTCTGCACTTGCCTCCGTGCTCAGGCCAGAGCCAGCTGTCCTGGCACAGGAGAGGCCGCTGATGGGCAGTGAACAGAGGGGGGTGCACGCGCTCTAGGCCAGGTGGGAGTCAGGTCCGAGGTGGGCAGAAGTTAAATTGCACGTTCCCCACCCAGCCTATCCACGGCCTTCCTCCTGCCTGGGGCCAGGTGCCTGAGGCAAGAATTGTCAGGAAAGCGAGCCCAGCCCATCCTGTGACCCCGAGTCTGTGTAGTGCGGGGTTTGGGGGGGGGGCAGGGGACACACATCTCAGTGTCCGCCTTGGGGAATAATAATACCCACGCCTAGTGAGGTCAAGTGAGAGCTCAACCGTGTCATTTCTGGCCAAGGCCAGCACACAGTAGGTCCTCTATAGCTGGTTACCGTGACCAGTTCTCCTAGGGCTTCTGCATGAGGTCAATTCAAAACACACCTACTGTGTGTAAGGCAAGGCAGAGACTGTACTGTGCTAAGACATGGGAAGACCTGAGGAGAAGTGGGGGAGGCTCCCTGCCCTCCATGGGCTCCTGGTCCTGGAGAAGCTCCTATAGGGTCACCTGGGGAGTGAGCGACCCTTTCAGGCTACACCAGAAAGGCTTCCTGGAGGAAGGGGCACTGCAGCGGGGTCTGGGGGTCTGACATGTGGGTGTGGGGAGGCAAAGCAGTCCCGGCAGTGGGAGCAGCCTGAGCAAAGGCCCTGAGGTGGACACTAATTCAGAGTTATCTGCACCCTACGTCCATCATGACATAATTCACAATAGCTACAAGCTGAAAACAACCTAAGTGCCCATCCACAAATAAATGAGTGGATAAAGAAAGTGGGGTGTATATGCCCGGTGGAATACTACTCAGCTGTGAAAAAATAGGAAACAGGCTGGTGCCAGGAGTGTCACCAGCAGGAGGCCGCAGCAGAGAGAGAAGGAAGCCAAGCTCTGGGCGGTGACGGGGAGACGGAAGATGGCAAGCAGGCCACGCGGGGCTCCACGCCCCGCCACCTAAGCTGGGAGGTTTTCCGTGAGAAATGGGCCCACTGAGGCCTGGTGAGGAGGAGCTGGTGCTTTCCCACGCGTCCCACCTTGAGTCTGACACTCACGTGCTCCTGCCCCCGGGCGGGCTCTGCTCCATGGCCTCCAGATGGCACTGCCCTCCCCAACACGCGCGGGCACCTCCTCCTACTCCCCTCCCCTCCACTTCTCCCACCCAGCCCGCCCCCACCCTGCTCGGCCAGGCGCGCCCTCTCCGCCCCCCTCTGCTGTGAGGCGGCGCCCCCCCCCTGATTGCCCACTTGCACAAAGGCGATGCAGGGGAGGGGTGGGCCTGGTCACGTGTGCCCCACGCTCTGCTGCCCTCGGCACTCACACGGTGGGGATGTACTCTCCTGGGAAGGCGTTGGTGGTGTAGCTGATGAGGAGGCAGGTCTTGCCCACGGCTCTGAAAGAGAGTTTGAGAAACAGCGGTCATGGGCACTGCCCAGTCACAGGAAGTTCTGAACACCAGCCTGCCCCCCTGCGCCCAGCCTTAGAGACCTCAGCGTGGACCCAGCCCCAGCCCTCTGACCTCAGCCTCCCCACCTGAGGAGCCATGTTTCCAAATCTAAGTGTCACCTGGGGTACTTGTTAAAGGACAGGCTTCGGGGGTCCTACCCCAGAGACTCTGGTCCACCAGCTTGGGGCTGAACTGGGAACCTGTATTTCTCCCAGGTGACACCAAGGTAGGACAGTGGGTGAAGGGCAGCAGACACCAATTGAAAAATGGGTGGAAAACCTCCCCAAAGAAGACATGGAGTTGGACAACAGGCACCTGAAAAGATGTTCGTTGTCTCTTGTTATGGGGGAAATTCAAATCACAACAATGAGATACCACCTCACACCTGTAAGAACAGCTATTATCAAAAACAAGCCAGGAAACAGGCTGGTGAGGAGGCGGAAGAAAGCAAGCGCCTGCCCAGGCCCATGTGCTGCGGGTGGGAGCGTAAGCTGGGGCAGCGGTGACACAAAACAGCATGGAGGGGTCTCCAAAAAATTACAGTCAGAAACTCCATAGGATCCTGTTATCCCACTCCTAGATATTTACCTGGAGAATATGAAAACACGAATTCAGAGTTATCTGCATCCTACGTCCATCATGACATAATTCACAATAGCTACAAGCTGAAAACAACCTAAGTGACCATCCACAAATAAATGAGTGGATAAAGAAAGTGGGGTGTATATGCCCGGTGGAATACTACTCAGCTGTGAAAAAGAAAAGGTGAAATCCTGCTGTTTGCAACAACGTGGGTGGACTTAGAGGGATATGCTCAGTGAAGTAAGTCAGACAGAGAGACATAAGCATGATTTCACCCCTAGGTGGTAGAAAAAGAAACAAAACTAATGAACAAACAAGTTTAGATTATGTAGTCACCAGAAGGGAAGAGACAAAGGGGGTTGTGGGTAATCAGGTAAAAGAGGTGTCAGCTATATACAACTAGACTTTATTGGTTATGTGGTCGGCGCAGAGGTTGACTTGTAAGGCTGTGCACTTGAAACCCCTAAAATGTTATAAACCAATGTTACTTCAATAAAACATTTTTTTTAAACAAAAGAGCAGGGGTGCCCGGGAACCCCTCCCTAAACAATGCTGAGGACTCCTGGGACCTTGGCCAGACTCTGCCTTCATGCTCCTGGGCTTCAGATCCCATCAACAACACCCACCAGTGGCCAACCTTAGGCAAGTCATTTAACCTGCCTGTGCCTCAGTTTACCCGTCGAGAAAATGGGGATGAGCACATCTTCATAGGAGTGTGCAGAGAGTCACTTAGAAGAAGCCCACAAGGAAACCGGGCCAGCGTGCGGCATGGAGTGGCAACCAGTCAACACTGGGGAGGACCAGCTCTCCTCTGCCCCTCCCACCTCACCAGGAACATAGCAGAGAAGAGCACAGCTGTGGAGTCAGAGTTCAAACCCCAGGCAGTCTTGGCAAAGTACTTTGCTTTTCTGAGCTTTGGTTTTCCCAGCTGTAAAATGGGCCTGATGTTAGGGTCGGCGGAGGATGAAATCCAAGGCCATGCCTGAACCCAGCACCTGACACATGGCAAGCGCTTAATAAACAGTGGTCAACAGGACTGGGGCTGCCCCCCACCCTCCTCAGCCTGCTGGCCTGGGAGGGGGTTCAGGTGGCCCAGAGGGAAGCAGGAGGCCAAGGGGCAGCCCTGGACCTTCCCCCGCTCATTGGGTTTCGTCACTTCCTATTCTAAGGAGCCTGGGTGCCCTCTCCTCCCAGCCACGCCCTCCCAGTGTTTGCACCAAGGTAAATTCAAATGACTACTAGAAGGGCGCCCTTGGCTTCCTCCCGCCCCTCCTCAGATCAGACACAAAGCAGAAGTGAGGGAGGCTGGGCAGGCAGGCAGATAACGGCCAGCGGGCATGCATCAGAGTCAGCTGAGGGCTCCCTGATAACTGTCCTGCTGCCGGGACCCTGGCCAGCAAAGATGGGGTCTCCCAGGGCCTCAGGCTGTCCAGTTAGAACCTGCTGGGATGTGCTGGTGGGACCCACCGAAGGCCCAGCATGGATCTGCAGGCTGGACACCGAGGCACTGGGCCTGTCCTGTTCCAGGTGAGGAGCCTGGGGCAAGAAGGTCTGACCCTGAGAAGACCCCTCAGCCCAGCCTGCCCCAAAGTGACCCCCACAACCACCTTCCCATCCCTTCCTCCCACCTTCCCGAACTGTGTCTCTCATTGGCCCCCTTCCTATTCCGAGCCCACGTCCCCCACATATCCTCCCCAGCCAGGTGGGGAAGAGGCAGGGAGGCGCGGATAAGGATGGGAGGCTAACATTGAGCATGCATACAGGAGTCTCTCAACACATTTCAAGTGACCCCAAATCTACTTCTTCCCAGATGGCTGCGCTGCGGCCCAGCGTGAAGCGGTGACGTGCCCAAGGTCACACACTCAGCCCAGGTCAGCCTGGGGAAAAGGCCAGATTCTTGGCTCACCACCCCCCACTGCAGCCATAGAGTTGGAGACTGGGGTCCCCGGGAGGCCAGCCCCAGCTCTCCAGGTGCGGGCAAGATGTCCCCGGTACCCCCACCCACAGCCTTGCACCCTCCACCCAGGCAGCTTCCGGGGTGAGGAGGGAAGAGAGAGGGAAGCTGTCCTCAGCCTACGCCAGGGCGCCCCCGCCCCGGGACCAGGGGGAAGAGGGAGCACTCCTCCTGGCTGGCCTCCAGGATACCCACATCTGCAGGGCCGGGGTCTTCCTCAGGCCAGAGGGCCAGGGCTGCCCCAGGAGCGGGCTGCCCGTCAGGTACCTACCCATCTCCCACCACCACACACTTGATGGCCTGCATGGCGTCAGGAGCCCGGGTGGCAGCGTCGGTGAGAACTCAGGGCAGGAGCCTTTCTGTGGCCACCAGGGGTGTGGAGAGCCTGGCGAGGCGCCCAAAGAGCAGAGGAGCCTTGGGACAAGTGTAAGAGGAAGCGGAAGGGGAACTTGCCCAAGTTTCTGCCCCCGTGGCCGTTTTTTTGCAGAGGGCGGAGCATGCGGTCTGACAGAAAAGCTCGGGGTGGGGGCCCTCAGGTGTGGGCTGGGCCAACCCCTGCTCTGAGGCACCGGCAGGACACCTGGGAGCCTCTGGTCACGCCTGCCCGTGGGGCAGGGCCAGCGCTGGTCTCCAGGTTGGGGCTTCTGAGAACTCAGTTCACCTCAGTTCTAAGCCTAGTACATTTAATGGGCACCTACTGTGTACCAGGAACAGTTTGGGGAGTAGGCAGATCCAGGAAGCAGGGGGTAAAGCTGACCCTGGGGAAGGGCCAGCCCCATGAGGGTGTCAGTAAAGCCAGGCAGGAAGGGATGAACCTCAGGGGATCTGCCAGAGGGGGGCATTCAGCCCTCAAGCTGTGTGGGAGAGGGGGCGCTCCAGGGAAGGGGGTGCACGAGCAATACTCAAGGCCACCCAAGCCAGGGCCAGTGCAGGAGCCCCTGAGTGGGAAGGGTGGGAGATGGGGGCAGATGACGAGGCTGGAAGGGAGGTGGGGGTCTGCTGATGGGGAAGGGGAACTGGAAAGGAGGTGACAGCAGTGCCACAGAGTCAGGCAACTCGGGGGATGGGGGTGAGAGACCGGAGAGCAGAGCTAGGAATCCCCGGCCTATCCTGATGGTGCAGAAGCTGAGGGGTGCAGAAGCTGAGGGGTCAGGTGACTCGCCAGGACCATTCAGCATGAAACAGACCCAGGCCAGGTGACCCCAAGCTCTGCTGGCACCCCAGCTGCTGTCTAGGGTAAGTTCTGCCTGAGTTCTGCATTCCTGCGGAGGGTGAGTGCTCCCTTAGGTGTGGCCAGACTCCAGAGCACTGCACCCCACGTTCACCTGGCTCTCAGCTCGGTTGTGGCTTCCCATGCACAGCACCGGCGGACCAAGAAAAGGAAATCCTATATTTTTGCTGTATTGGGAAGGTCGGCCTGCACCCTGCCGGCCCCTCCAGAGGCTGGCATCAGGGGAACAATGATTCTTGTCACCTGTGAAGACCCCTGGGGCGTCAGACTAGCCCATAGACTGAGCCCCTGTGGAGCTGCAGGAAGGAGCAGGAGGTAACAGCCTGACTGCACCCCACATCTATAGGGGTGCCTTTAAGATGAGAGATTCAAATCACCTTGGTCCTTCCATCGTCCCACAGGCAGCTCTGACTGAATTAGCTCTGCGAGATCAAGGGAGGCTTTGAGAAACCAGCTAGGTAGCTTCTTTCCTTAGTTAAGAAGAAACAATCCTGGATTCTTTACTTACCTATATAAATTGAGGTCAAAGCCCCGAGGGAGAGGAAGGGTGGTAGAGCACGGGTCACCCACCTGAAACACAGGAGGATGTGGAGCACCCAGCCTGCTGGGAGGTCAGCACCCCTCCCACAGCCCTCCCTGGGGGGCTGAGCCCAGGATTCCCATCTGCACCTGCGGGCTGAACCTGTTCAGCCATCCACCCAAGCCATGGGGCTGGCAAAGTGGCTTTGCAGAAAGGAAGAGGCAGCCTCCCCAAGGCCAGTGATGAGAACCAGCCGCCCGCTGCCCGGTACCCAGGCTGAGCCGAGATGCTAGGAAGCACTCCGAGGTCCCCAGACCAGGTCAAGAAGGCCAGGCATCCCCCATGACACCCCTGGCCCCCTCCCTCACAGGCCACTCTGGACTTTATCCTGGCCGCTTCCCTTCAGCCTTTCGCCATCCACAGCCAGCCCGTGGGGCAGCCGCCGGGTTAACCTAAAATAAACATCATGCAATGTGGCTTCTTGGGCTGGATCCTGAAACAGAAAATAAGACAAAATAAAACACCCTTGTAAAAATAGTACATCCAAACAATAGTAAATCAAATCGAGTCTGAAACTGAGTTAACACCACTGCGTCACTGCATCACCGCTTAGTTCCGACGAGTTCCTCGGACAAGTGATGTGAATATAAGGGGAAACTCGCGGAGGGTGTTCGTGAACTCTTGTACTATGTTGGCAACATTTCTGTAAATCTAAAATTATTCTAGGCTAAAATTTTGATTTTGTTAAAGAGAATAAAGAAACTCTGGGAAGACACAGCCAATGGGTATGACCCCATGACTTGGAGCAAGACAGTACTGGATGTTACCCTCCACTCAACCCCTAGTCAGAGCTTCCTCTTGCAGCCAACAACCTGCCCAAGCACACATGGCCGCAGAGGCCCTGAGAGCGCACCTCCTTCCATTCTGAGAAAGCTACTATCCCAGGACAATCCCGAATAAAAAAGTCTCCCTGGCTGAAGCCATCTGACTCAGGTCTTCTTCAATACCCTCATTTCACAGATGAGGAAACTGAGGCCCTGGTCCTGGTGACCAAACCCTCATGCCGCCACCCTGGCCTGTCCAGTCCTCTTCACCTTTACTTTCTTTTCATTTTTGTTTTCTTTTTTTTTTTTTTTAAATAGAGGCATGTTTTATTTATTTGTTTGTTTGTTTGTTTTGTTTATACATGCACTGGGTACAGTCAGAAGCGCGGGAGGGTGAGAGAATTCACCAGAGCCAGAGCGGGGAGCAGAGCAGGCAGAAGGACCGAAGGACACTGCTGAGGGGAGCAGCGGGCGGCAGGAGAGGTCTGCGCGCCATGTGGGACCCTCCTCCGGTGGCCGGGGAGCAGCCGGGGATCGAACCGGCGCCGCAGAGGCCGCGGGCAGCTTCTCAACCCAGCGCTCAACCACTGCGCCACTGGGGAGGCCCCTTCATTTTTGTTTTCAAGTGTCTAGACTGAGCTATCATTTCCATGCAATGCATCCATTTGAAGCGTGTATGTCTTCATTTCCTTTGGCAGGTGTAAGCACCTCTGAAGCCACGATCAAGATACAGAGAATATCACAGAATATTTCATCACCGTGAAAGTTTCCTGAACCCCAGCACATGCACACATACTCACACACACTCACTCACACTCATTCACACGCTCCCCCATACCCACACCCTCTCACAAGCTCAGATCTGCTTTCTGTCACTATAGATTACTTTATGTTCTCCAGAATCTCACGTACATGCCAGCTCTTGCACGAGGCTTCCTTCACTCTGTTTTTGAGATTCACCATGTTGTGGCAGTGCCATGACCCGTCCCCTCATTAGTGAGTGGTGTTCCATTTCAGGAATGTGTCACCATGATTATTCATTCAGTCCTGTCCTCTTGACCACATTCTGCAAACCCGCTGAATCATAAACCACGGGGCTTCTGGGCGAGCAGAGAGACCATACGGGCCATCTTTAACCCCCTGCCCTTGCACCCCTGGAGGCCAATGCCTGCTTCACTGCCCAGGTTACATACTTCCAAAGACAGAGAGCTCATTCCCTTAGGAGACAGTTTGTTCCATCCTGGAGCAGCTGGGCCTACTGCCCCGGATTCCTAATTCTGGTCTTGGGGTCACTCAGGTCAATCAGATCCCTCCTCCCCACCACAGGTGGAAGATACACCCCCCTCCCAGCAGTGTGGGGGCAAATGTTGAACCTCCAGCTCTAGCTTAGCTATTTTTAGCTGGTGTGTAATATTCTAATATATACATGTATTTATCCAATCTCCTGCACATAGGCTTACAATGCTTGCTTTACAGATAGTCTTGTTATGAATACCTGTGGGCTTCTAGAGCTTTCTCTAGAAACTGGCATCTCATTGTGTGAATATATATAGAGCCATGCATTTCTAGCAATGTTGAACTCCTCTGTCCTTTCCAGAAATTCAAGTTTCCTGTTCCTAACGTTTTTTCATATCCTTTGTCCATTTCTTTATTGGAGTGTCGGTCTTTGTCTTATATGTATTTGGAGAAGTCCTTTCTATATTCTGATTTCCAAACTTTAATTACCATCTGCATCGCAGATACTTCTTCCAGTCTCTGTGATGTCTTTTGATCAGATGTGATTTTCAATTAATAGAATTTTTACTTGGATGTAGCGTAATTTAAACGCTCGTTTCTAATAACTCATGTGTGTGGAACCAGTCTTGCTTCAGAAGCCCTTCTCTCTTCCCAGTTTTATAAAAATTGCCTCCTGTGTTTTCTTCCAAAGCTTTTAAAAGTTTGCTTCTTTCTCGCAGTCAGATTTTGACACTCTTGGGATGGATTTTAGAGTGCGGTGAGAAATGGACTTCTTCAATTTTTGTGAGATATGGATTTAATTTTGTCCTCTCCACGATCGATTTCTCCCCACATTTTTTGAGGGGTTCTGTCTCATAACGCGTGTCCACACAAGCGAGAGTCTATTCCCAGCTTCTCTGCCCATTGGCCCATATGTCCACCGGGGGTCAGCGCCTTTAATTACAGAAATTCGGTGTCAGATCTTTATATCTCTTTCAAATTTTTATCGTTATCACTGACCATTTACTCTTCCATATAAATTTTAGAATAAGCTTGCCAAGTCCCAAGAAAAATCATGTCAGAATTCTGATTAAAATTCTATTCAATTTATAGAGGAATCTGGGGAGAATTGACTTTGTAACATCCAGCCTTCCTTCCCATTAACATGGTGTATTTCTTCTTTACATCTTTCAATCAAGTTTTACAATCCCCCCCAGAAAGGTCACCCACATTTCCTCATGAGATTTATTACTTAATACCTTATTACTTTCCATGCCACTGTAACTAACACTTTAAAATTGCATTTCTGTTTGTTGCGTCTATGCAAGGAAAGTGTCAGATTTTGCATATTGGACTGATATATATGGCAACCTGGAAGGAAATTCTTACTATAATTGATCTAGAACATTTGCTACTAAGATGTCAAACTGTCTTTGCAGACGGTGTTATCAATTGTGGAAATGACAGTTTTATTTCTACCTCCCCAATTTTTATAACACCAATTCCTTGGAACTGTCTGGGGCTTTTACTGCAATATTGTGGGGTCACAACCCCAGGCTCAGCCCTGATGTAATCTGAAGCCGGCTTCCCATAGGCAGGGGGAGGGAGAGACACTCCACACTGGCAGGC